TTTTGGTTTTTTTTTTTTATAATAGCCATCCTAATGGGTATGAAGTCGTATCTCATTGTTGTTTTGATTTACGTTTCCCTGATAGAAGTTGATTTCTTTGACATCCAGAAATGAACCCCCACCAACTGTAAAGCCAAGTAAGTGGCTTTGATGAGAATAAGATAAATCTGATGAGAACAAGATAAATCTAGGAACACCAGAATAAAGTTTCCTATTAGATCCTGTTTCACTAGTAATGGTACTACAGAATCACTTTTAAAGTTTTTCCTTTTCCATTTGAATATCACTGAATTTAAATTCAATTTGGTAGAAAATTTATTATTAAAGGTATTTTAAAGCCAAACTGTGAACCTGAAAACTAGAGAATTTAACCCATTTAGTAAATATTACTAAGTAACTAACACATACTGCTTTTAAGAATCTTACAGTCTGGAGGGAGAAATGGATATACTGACAAGCAATTACAATTCAGTGTAATAAAATCTATAATGGGAGTGTGTAAAAGGTTTGGTGGGCATAGTAAATAACAGTGCCTTCCTCTGTTTCTGGGGAAGCGGGATTATCAGGTAAAGCTCCACAGAAAAGGAAACTTTTATGCTGAAACTAGAAGGATGAGAAGGCTTTTGCTGGAAGTATATGTTGGAGTAGGTAATCAAGTTAGGGAAGTAATATCATAGCCTATCAGAAATGAGCTTCCTGTAGTAAAGCATTGGCAGATAATCTAAGAATTTTGGAGTCAAAGATCACTCTAAATTTTATATCCTTTAGCTAGAGTCCCAATCCATCCCTGCACTAAGCCAAAGTTTTTGGAAGCCCAGACTGTTCTGATATATGGCAAATTACCTTAAATCCTGAAATGAAAATTATGTAACATGAAACAAAAAGTTGAGATTATTGTGTTTGTTTACATTGTAGGCATTTTAAGTTATTCTCTTATCACCTTGCTTTGGTCTGCTAACAGTGTAAAATTATCTTGCCCTTATAGTACCTTCATATAGGTATATTTTATTTTAAGTCTATGTCTAAGAAGCAGTAATTCACAATTAAGTTTGTAGATTTGGTAAAATACATTAAATCATTCTTCCCCAGAAGCATTGTATTTTTGCCAGGCCATTTTCACGTGTCTGTGTTTGTTGGAACATACAGCCAACAAAAATCAATGTTTATCATATAAAGCATGTGACCTAAATAAAGCTTCTGTTCATTTAGTTTAGTTACAATACTATTGCAGTTTTGATTCTGAAGTTTCTTTTTCTGTTGTTTTTGGGTTTTGGGGGGTTTGTTTTGGAGCTTTTTCTTTCTATTATGGAGGAAATAGATCACATATAAGAATGATAAGAGGCACAAATTTACTTTTATCACTGTGAACTCTAAAGATGATGTTTTCTTAGTTATGTTGAAAAAGTGTGACAATAATTATGGGACTATAGTTTTAGTCTCTTCTTCAGTCTTTTATTTATAATGCTTGTATTTTTCATACCATCTTTGACATTTTAAGATAGTACAGAGGCTGGTATATTTGGTGTGAAAATGTAAAATGTTGTGATTTGTTTCCAAGTACTGCTTTGTGCCAAAGATCAGCTTCTAAAAATTATAAAGCTCTTTGCTGGTTTGGTTTCCCTAGGCCTCATCATGTTTGTGGTTATAAGAGTCTCTTTCAAATCAATCCCACGTGTCAATTCTTCCCCTGAATGCCACTATGAGGTTTTTTTCCACCTTAAATACTTGCCTACTTTCTTTTTTGTTTTTTTTAGTACTTGTGGGTTTAACATATGCTCACAAATCCAGACAGAAGAGAAAAGAGGTTTTGAATTTCGTACTTTTTTAGAGTATGAGAGTTTATTTTTAAATAGTTTAAATGTGTGGTTGCAAAGCCTAGACTCTACTTTTTAGCAGGTATTAAAATAAAATGAAGGTGGCTAGAATAGCATTAATCTGTCTCGGTTCCTTTGCCCAGGACAAGGTGAAACCAGAGGAGAATGGAGCAGGCAAGCATCAAGGGGTTGAGGCTGTGAGTGGGTAGTCTGGGATGACAACAGAAAATGTGATATGTGCCAAAGAGTTCTGAACCCTGGCATGTAGCCTTGACCGAGTGATTTGGGAGTTAAGATTGTATTCTTTCTCAGTGCCATAGAATTGCTGATAATGCTTGCTAGAAATAGTGTGAAATTATACTTGAACTTCACACTAGCAGTATAGTTATACAATTAATTCTGATAACAGATGTTTGTTTTGACTGCTGTTAAAGAAAGTGAAGGTGTTATTGAAACATAAAGATTCTCTTGTGTCATTCTTAAAATATGTAATATTGAGATGGGGAACTGATTACAAAAGCAAGAGTTTAGGTAAGTGGTTTTAAGCTTCTTTACATCATGAAAATCTGATAAAAACTGCACTCACTCTCATCAGAAAAATGCACATATATGCATATCTGCATATAGTTTCAGAGATTCACAGACTTGGAGCCCATTTATGGACCCTGTTCTAAGTCACTTTCTTCATTTTTGGACAGTTTCATTCTTTTATTTTATTTAGTTTGTGAGTTAGTTTAATTTCTTGCAGAGAAGATAATGCTAATGAACTGAAGTTATAGGTTTAATTTCCATAAGGAACATTTAGCTGTACAGTCACAAATACAAAAAAACTTAACTATTTTGTGTGTGAAAAAAATACCCACACCCACATGTATATGCATGCCATTGATTATAACATGATTGGTTGAGATCATGCTGACTGTAAAATTTAATTTAAAATTGATTTTATTTTTGGAATATTTCAATATATCTCCTTGAAATAATTGTAGAAATCTCAGGAGTTCCAAAACTTTAGTATGTGATCACTGGTACATCCAGTAGAAATGAATAGAGAATGATGAGCATTTGCTTCCTGGAAAATGCATGCGTTTATATCTATATATCTATATATATATAGATATATATATGCACACTAGTCATGAATGAGATGTAACAGTAGTGTGTGTAGAGATATATATATATATATAACATAGATTTTTTAGGGGGGTCTTCCTTTTGTTTTTGTTCTTAACCTTAGATGTACATAGTAATAAAATCCAGTCTTGGTTAGAATTTAGCAAAAAATAAAATTGTGTACCAGTCGTTCTCAGTCTCAGTTGTCTTGACATCTTCTTAAAGGTTTGTATATTCTTTTAGACGCTCAAATTTACTTTCTTTTTTCTTTACTTTATCCCAGAAGCTTACATGTATGGTGTGTAACTTAGTGTTATGTTAACATGGTTACAGAGTGGATGCTGAATAAATGTGCTTCATGTAGTCTAACGCTCCAGTTACCTGTGTGCCCCTCTTGTAATTTGATGAATTTTACAGGCAAACTTCCTGTGTGCCCTTTGAGAAATACAGCTATAGACTATAGCAGTAGCATTCAGACTATTTGTTCATTCATTTATTTATTGAATTGGAGCATGTTATTATTTGCTTGAGTATATAACAAATCACATAATTCTTCATGGCTTAACATAGTACTTAAAGTCAATAAATATTTGTTGAGTGAATAAATGGCATGTATCTTTAAGATTGTGATAGTCTAGATAGAGCAATGAGTTCCAACCCTGATGTTGAGACATGCCTTACAGGGCACAATTGTGAAATATTTAAAAGAAAATTTGAGAGGAAAATAAATATGCATGCCACATTTTGTCCTTGAAGAGACATGATTTTGAAATCAGTCACATAATGGCACATCTACAAAATGTGATCATCACTATCAATAGCATAAACAAATAAAATTAAACTGTGTTTTTTTATGGAGTATACAAATGCATTTAATTTGCACAGTCCTGTACTAGCTGTTTCTGGGATCACAAAGTAAATTTTTTAAAACCGAGAATAACGGCAATTGAGAACCATACACAGCACTGTTAATATTCTGATATACTAAACAAAATATTCCTCTACGTAACGTGGGAATTTCCACTGTCTGTATGTCTGTGCTTAACGGAAATTTTACAGGGATGCTAATTATTGAATGGCAGCCACATCACTTACTTAATAGATTACTACATTAGAGTCGTTAATATCTAAAAATGGATCATTGTAGCTTTTGGATACCAAGTTTAATTGACCTTTTAATAACTTAGTAGTACTAGTACATAGCCCTTGACCACCATGAAAAAAATAAAAGTCGAAGAAATTTAAAATCATTGCCTGTTAGAACCAAAAAAAAAGGTCTTGCATTTGATGATTACTTTCAGCCTGTCAAGGGTTTCCGAGGTCTACCAAAGGAGTATTGAAGATTCACTTGCCACTCAGGAAAAGAGTACAATACTGTAGGAATAAAGTATGAGTATTCTTGTCACCAGCGGAATCTTTTCCACTAGAGATCATTTCTAAATGTACCTTGAGAGATGGTCTTCTAATTTGAGGCCAGAATTATAATATATGTCCACATTTCAGGGAGTCAATTGATAATGTAACTAGAATAAAGAGATGGTTTTGGGGAATGAATCTGAGCAAGACTCTACCTTATGCATTGTAAGTCTTCTGGGAACAAAGCTCTGTGAAACCGAGTTGATCTGGGTATAGAAGAAATAAAATGTAAACCTCTGTCATCAGATGTGGTAGGTGCTGACTAGGCTGTAGCTACACAGGACTTCCACATCCTGAGTAGAAATCCGTCCTAAGAGAAAAGCAGGAAACCCCCCAGGAAGGAAAGGAAGGGAAAGAAGCCTTCTATATGATTTTGTTTCTTGTGGTATTATTTCTGACAGAGTATGTTTATGGACTGTCTTTCATTACCAGAGGTATTAACCTAGTTAGTTATATCTGAAGATAATGTACCAGTTTACCTGTGAAAGAAAAAATTGTATGGCTTAACTATCCTAATAATTAAATAGATTGAATCTCTATGCAGTTCAAGGCCAGTAATAATATGTATAATCTGATCAATTAAATAAAACCAACAGTAAAGAATCATAATAACTAACCTTGTTGACCATTATTACTTTTTCTTTTGCTTGGTCCTAGGGTTTTGACCCACCACATCAAACTGAAACAAGAACTATTTACATAGCCAACAGGTTTCCTCAGAGTGGCCTTTACACACCTCAGAAATTTATAGATAACCGGATCATTTCATCTAAGGTAAGAATTAACACTTTTATTATTAAAACTGTAGATATGTACCATTTTGTTTTGAAAAGTGATTTGTGTATTCTAGTATACATTTATATCCTTAAAAATTCAAGGAAATGGTGGTTGGTAGATTTATCTTAACCAAAATTGGGAACTGTAAAATAAAAGGAGTTGCCAATTGCTAATATCAGGTAGCCAACATGCCAAAAATTATCCTTAGTTGCAATTAAACTAAGGAACTAATATTTATGCTATGTGTCAGGCACTACATTAGGTACTTCTCATATCATTTAATCCTTAAAACAACTCTGAGATAACTTTTACAAAGTGTTGTTATACTCATTTTTTATATTCGTTTCTTGAGTTGAAGCCAGGAAATAATTTACCCAGGGTTGCACACTAGTAAGTGACGAGGTTGGAGTTTGAACTCAGTTTTGTGTGACTTTAAAGTCTGACTTCCTCCAATTTTATCCTTCTTCTGTAAATATTTTATAATACCAAAGTACTGCTTTACTCTTATGTATACTTCCTTGTTTCATTTTTTTTCTATTTTTGAGATGTCTTAGTTTATTTTGAAACTGAAGATTATAGAGTAATGCTGTCCAATAGACTTTTCTCTCATGATGGAAATATTTTCCACACTGTATAATATGGTAGCCATTAGGCATATAGGGCTATTTAGGCCTTGAAATCTGGCTCATGCCACTGAGGAACTTATTTTTTCATTCATTTTAAATTAAATATCAATAACCACATGCAGCTAATGGTTACCTTATTAGACAGTACAGTTATAGAGGATGTGAATCAAAGAGACTAAGCATAAAGGTCTCCTTAGATCATAGCCATTGCTTCACAGACCACCTTAAGAAGCATTTTTGCATTGCCTCTTCCCTCCCTTCCAGAGTGACTATTTTCTTTCTAATCCTGATTTCATCTTTCCCAAGGATGTTGTCTTAGGCCAGTGGTTCCTTTGCCATGCCCTTTTTTTTTACAGCCTTCACATTATTTATATATACAACACACCCATTAGTGACGTTTCTCATTTTGGACAATGGTTCTAAAGCAAAGGGCAGGAAGGGGAAATATCAGAATCTAGGGTAATGGAGGAGCTCTCAATTAATGACACAGTTCTTCGTAAATTGTGCAAGAAATGAAAGTCCTTCTTGAAATTTTTAAGTTTTTTTTTAACTTTGGGTATAATTTGTATACAATAAAATTCACCAATTTTAAGTGTGCAATTTGACGAGTTTTGACAAATGTATAATATGTTACCACTACCACAATCAAGTTATAGAATATATCCTTCACTCCAAAAATTAGCAACCAGTCCCCCTCCTCCTCACCTCTAGCACTAGCAACCATTGATCTGCTTTCTGTAACTATAGATTTGTTTTCTCTAGAATTTCATATAAATACAGTTACACAGTATGACTCTTGTGTGTCAGACTTCTTTTCACTTAACGTAACGCTCTTGAGATTCATTTTTGTTGTTGCAAGTATCAATATCAATAGTTCATTTCTTTTTAGTGCATAGTTTAGCTGTCAGCCTGGATTTGGATAGTTTATGTAATGAATTTGGGTCATTTTCCTCACGTGGTCCTTTCACTACCAGTATTTTCCCCTTAAATTTGCAACCCTGAACTCTAATCTCTGTCATATTTTGTTGATAAGGGTGTAGTTTTTCCCTGCTGTTGTGCTGCCGTAGTTGTGAGAGCTGGATAGTGTCTCCAGGCTAAGAAGCCATAGCTCACAATTCATACTCCTTCCATTTGCAATTTTTTTTTAATTAAATTCTCTTTTAGTTTCTGTCTATATTTTGGACCCAGTCAAGGATTTTAAATAGTTTTTTTAAATCTAGTTTTTATAATTCTTATCTGCTGGGAGTTCACAGGACCACTTAACTCCTCTGCCTATACTGCAGGCTGAGTATCCTGGAAAACTTTGGGGATTAAATATCTTTATATGACTGTTTTCATATGCAGCAGTATTAGGTTTAATGTTTTTGACCACAGTTTCAAAATGTAGGTATTTAAATAAACATTGCCCTTTTTTAGCATACATGAGGACCATTTCTCTCATTACTCCCTTATTACTTCCTTATTATTCCACTACTGCTTTCTTAAACTTCTAAATCAGATTACCTGTTATTCTATAAATAAACTCATGTTGAACTTCCCTACCACTGTGCCTTTGCTGTGATTTTGTGTTGATAACCATAATTTTTCAAATGTAGGTTTTATGTTTTTGCAAAGATTGTAGACTTCATGTTTTTGTAGAAATGTAGAATTCATGTTTTTGACCACAGTTTCAAGAATGTAGGTATTTATATAGATAGTGTCAGTTTTTTCCTGAACTTAAATGAGGCTAACTTCTTCTTATTCCCTTTTTACTACCTTTCTACTCACCTGTTATTCCCTTAAACTCCTTCCAGGCTGTATTATCTTCTATCCCCAAAAGCCGTGATGAACTTTGCTCCTATCTGCCTTTGTTCATGCTATCCTTCCTTCCTGAAATGTTCTCCCTCTATTTGCCCCCCCGTATTTTCAGCATGTTGAATGTTCCTCTCTTAAAGCCCATGTCAAGTATGACCTTCTTCATTAAATTTTTCTCTCACTGACTGCTTTTCCTTTAATTCTTTGTATATTCCTTCATTTACTGTATTTTTGAATACAGCTATTGATAATTGTTCTTAATCCCCTCTATTTAATATTAAACTTATCTTTCTTCCCCTTATAGTGCGTCTTAAACATTGTAGATGCATGATATAGCTTTGTTTAATTTAATTTACCATAGGAACTACCTTATCTTAAAGTTAACCTTCTTTGTAATAGATTTAATTTTATAACAATGTTTTGGTTTTCTTACTAATGTTAGACCTTAGGAGAAAAAAAAGGTCAATTTTATAGTCATATGTATAACCATAGAGAAGTTACACTTCTAATTCATTTTTCTTGGCCAATATTACATAATAATTAAAAGAATTTTAAAGCATAATAAATCATTATTTTTCTTAAAAATTTTTATATTTAATATTATTCTACTAGAGTCCCTCCTCTATATATGACAGGACAAGCAAAAATTCACACTTCATTCAATCTATTAATATGTTTGCATTTCAGAAAACCTGGAAACAACAATTCCTAACATTTGTAAGCTAGTTTTAATAAGAAATTTTTATTTATTCTGAGTTTTTCCATTGTATTATTGAGCTAGCCAAAGAAAATATCCTGAAACCAGTTACCTTACTGCCAATTTATGTAGTTGCTCTTTTCAAGATTCTGGAAGACAAAATATATCGTCACTGTTATGATTTAAATAGCTTGATGTAAACTTAGAACATTGCTAACTTCATTCTTATAAAGTTTTAAACATTTGAATTGGTGACGGAGGAAGTTACATGGAATACTTTGACCCCTGTAGGGACAACTGTCTTTTTACTCCAGTTAAGATCAGCTGGAGATGATTTCACCCAGAGTTACCATCTCATTTGTACACATTGAGCAGTGACTTCTTTTGGTTCCAGGAAGTATCTACCTCTCTTTTCTCTAGAGCCCTGAATGTAATTCCCAGCCCCACATTCTGGAGCCACTGGTGCTACCACTACCACAAGAAAATATGTTTCAGGTACCCCAGAGTAGAACTGAAAATATAATTTCACCTAAGAATGAAAGGTTGTTAGGTATTATACTACTCCTTGTATACCTTTGGGTCAGGTAGGCTTTTGTGGGCTCTTTTGGGAACCTACTATTTATAAAATTGTTCATATGGGATAGGCTGTTTCAGGTCTCAAACAACTGATTAAGAAGTGATTTTTTGACATGAAAATTCAGAAATTAGAACCATCATACATTGCACCAGAGAAAATTAGGTAAACTACTTTAAAAATCTTGAATTGGTCAGTAACTATTAAGGCTTCATTGCCTGATATCAGGATACTTATCTAAAAAAAGAAAAACCCGTTTCACCTGTATTCATCTGTTCTGCTAAAGTTTTGATCTCCAACTGTGCCAAGTAGCAGTGTAAATGCTGGAGATAGAGCAATAAATAAAACAATTTCCCTACTCTCAGGGATTGTACATTCTACTGGGAGAAGGTACATAGGGTAAAGTAACAGTGCTATAGGGCGTTTCCCTGTTTCATATATGAAGTTGTGTTGTGAGTAGTGAGTGACACAAGTAAAATTGTACTGTATTACCCTGAACCTATAATATAGAGTTATAGGCTTATAAGCTGATTAATAATATAACAGACACTTATATAGCAATTATTATGAACCAAGTTCTGTCCTAAGTGCTTCATAAATATACTACCTCATTTAATCTTTATAACAACCCTATACATTATGATTATTATTATTGTCCTCATTTTGTAGAGGTCAAAGTGGGTACAGAGAGATTAGGTCCAAGGTCATTTAGTGACCTTGAATTAGGATTTAGGTCACAGCAGTTTAACCCCTAACATCTATGTTCTTAACCATTATACTCTACTATCTTACTTTTAAAATTGACATTGTGACAGATTTTCATGTCCTTTATGAGATTTTCTTGGTGATTATACCAGTGATCACTTATCTAAAGTATTTTTTAATTTTTTTCACATTCTAGGTTATTTTTCCATGTTCCATACTTAACAAAGAATAATTGAATAATTATACCATTTCCTCTGTTTCTGACACTGAGCTAAATAAAATATAAAATAAATTTTATCTAGTGTCAGCATTTCTATCGCTTCTTATCTTTAACATTAGGTTTAGTTTTCTGTAACCAAAGTCCAAAATAAATTATTAAAATGTTGTTTTACATTTGCCATCTCCAACTTCTAAAAAATCAAGAATTTAATAGCAAAATTGATAAGTTCCAGTTTATCTCATTTTTAAAAATTATACTGAAATTACCAATAAATAGTAAAGAAAAAAGAGTAGGGAAAAAGTCCTGAAACTCCAAAAACCAGATAAATAGTTTCTGTAGTATAAAGAGTTACATGAATTTGTCTAAGGGCTTAGTAAATCTGATTTTACTTTTCTTATTATTACATCTATATAGTATGTATTATTTTTAAATATTTATCGATCTCTTCTCTTTTTTTTTAGTATACTGTGTGGAATTTTGTTCCAAAAACTTTATTTGAACAATTCAGAAGAGTGGCAAACTTTTATTTTCTTATTATATTTTTGGTTCAGGTAAGCTTTATCACTCAATAGATTGTTAAATTTATAGACGTGATTTCTAAAAATATGTCTTAAGGGAAAAGTTACACTGCGTTCTAAATCATTTGACTATGGGACCATTTTTTTCCTGCAGAGCTTCCCCATTGTATTCAGTGAATATAATGATTTAAACCACATCTGGATTTCTAAAAAATAGCCTGTGAATTTTAAGATTAATTGTATTTTATTTCATCATTGATGTGATGTGTTGCTGATAACCATAATCCAAGCCAAGAAAATAACATCGTCTTTCGGGTACTCTGCCTCAGAACATAAATATTTTGACTTTTAACATACAGCACATGTTTTTGGCACATTTCTGCTTATGGAACCATCTTTGTACAAAGTAAATTTTTGTTTGGCTTTTCTTTTTTTGTTATTTAAATTTTACTTTTATTTAAAATTTTTAAAAAATCCTTCAGAATCCCCATAAGTATAAATTTTTATCCAGAAGACCATTTTCTTAACTTAAATCTGTATTAATTCTAAGTTGTTTGACAGTTTGTTAATTTTCACATTGTGCTTTTTTTTCCCAAATATCAAAATATAAAGACAACAGCTTATGAAACTTGAGTATAAGTCAAAATTTTAAAATAATGATTGTCATTTTCTTTTAAAGAGATTATTCTTTTCTGATAATACTTTAGCAGTCTCTTTCAGTGTGGCATTGAATTTTTGTGTGAACTCTGAACTTTTCTCTCAGTAGAACCTGGGATTTCAAAAGAAGAAAAAACTTGTCAAGTAATCACTTTGAAGCTTGAGGAAACATTTACTTTTTAAAAACATTGCTTTTATTCATGAACAGAAAAGGATTTTCTGATTTTCTATCAGTAGAACATCAGCTTGGTTTTCTCAGAAAAGGGAGAAATTTATACTAACCATGTCCACGTAACGCATGTGTTTGTGAAATTTCTCGCTGAGATCAGGAATTCAGCTTGTCTGTGGAATAGAACAAATTTAATTTACCTATCCAGAGTAAAGGAGCATTAATAGATCATTGGACCTATGTTCTAACTAACCAAACGTAATTACTGCAAAAATTTCTTTACTTCTCCAACAGTGTATTGAAATTGATTGTATGATTTAGATCATAATTGCAGCATCATTTTCCAAGCTGGTACCCCTCTGGCTCTGCTAGATGTAACAAAATCACTTGTAGGAAAAAAACCCTTTCCTTAGTCCAATTCCTTGTTCTTTCTCCCTAAGTGGTGAGTTTATTCTGAATCCCAGGGTAAGAATTGCTGAAAGACTTCACCATTTATCAGGGTGGGCAAAGAAATGTGAAATGAGATTCTGAGCAGTTGTAGCTCTACTTTTAGGCAAATACCGAAGAAGAACTTAAGTACTCTGTGTGTTAAGAAGGCAGAGTGACTGGCAATGTTTGTGGGTATGCAATAGATTGAAATGTTCTAGTAACACCATATAAAAGCTAACAAAGTGAACTTGTGAACCTGTAAACTAAACTATACTCACTGCATAATATCTCCTATTATTTTTTACTCTGGACCATAATATACATTTTATATAGTGTTCTCCGAATTCCCAGTAAGTATGCGATTTTAGACGTTAATAGTGTGACATGTACAATATAAAAATAAATATAATACTTTGCATTCTTTTTTTAAATCTAGCTTATGATTGATACACCTACCAGTCCAATTACCAGTGGACTTCCTTTATTCTTTGTGATAACAGTAACTGCCATAAAGCAGGTATGAAAGGCTTTCTATTGTTGTTTTACCCCCAGTCATTCAGAAGTTGCTAAACATTTCCGCTTCAAAGGAACATTTATGTTTGTGAATATAATTTCCGTAAGAAAGCAGCAAATTTGTTTGATAATTGCATATGGTAAAATTAACCTGAGTTTAGCCCCTCTGTTATATTTCAGGTACCTAGTGACTCATGGAATGATTACATTGTTAAAATATGTTGTTCTCTTGACACACCTAGGAAGCATCCAAAAGCAAGCATTTTATATGTACTAACCAATTTATATATGTAACAGATTAATTATTATAATTATCTTTGTAGAATTTGGCAATATTTAAAGGAAATAAAATTTGAAAGGCATATACGTTTATAGGGAGTAGAGCATGTACTTCTGGCATGAACATTTTGAATAAAAATTGTATGGTGACTCCTACTTTTTATAACTTTCTTTGGTCAAGATGATTTTTATGTAAAGTAGAATCCTAGGGGAAATAGCTTCAACCAAATCTTGAATTGATTTTAAAATCTAGGTGTAGAGAAACAGGGTTATTGGATAAGCATACTGAGTAAGAAATAAATTCATATAAATGTCATGTCTTTTTTTTTTTTTTTTTTTTGGTGAGGAAGATTAGCCCTGAGCTAACATGTGTTGCCAATCCTCCTCTTTTTGCTGAGAAAGATTGGCCTTGGGCTAACATCTGTGCCCATCTTCCTCTACTTTATATGTGGGACGCGGCCACAGCATGGCTTGATAAGTGGTGCGTAGGTCCACGCCCAGGATCCAAACCCACGAACCCTGGGCAGCCAAAGCAGAGCGTGCAAACTTAACCACTGTGCCACCTGGCCGGCCCCAAGTATCATGTCTTTATAGCTACCACTTCTCAAAAAATCTTGGCAGGGGCTCCATTATACAAGGATGATCCCTGCTACCTGAAAGAGAGTTAATTGAATTTTCTTGGGTAAATATGATAAACTTCCATTTTATAAGATTTAGAGATAAGGTTTAAATTGACATGGAAATAAAATTGACAAACATTTTATAATTCTGGCATGTAGTATATTCTTTATTACCTACATAAGAAGGATAAGCAGAATCTATAGATTAACAATTACATGATGTATCTAGTGTATCAGAATATCATGCTGCTGCTCTTACTTAATTTGATTTCCCTTTCTTCACTCTTCTATTAGAGACTAGAATTTGTGTAAGTCCATAAGCATCCAAATTACTTCATACGATTACATATTTAGTTGGTTTTGCAGATGTCATTTATTTCATCAAAGTAACACATATTTGTCCTTTGGACCTCTTTTCTATATATAGTTTCCTCTTAGGTGATTTTATCTAGTCTAGTGGCTTAAAGTACCATTTATATGTTGATGGTTCTCAAATTTATATGTATCCTGAAACTATCCCCTGACCTCCAGACACACATTTACAACTGTTCACACAACATTTCCACTTGGATATCTTAGGCTTTTCCTCACCCATGTCACACTCTCATTTCCTGCTCTGGTCTTTTTTCTTCGTATCATTTGTCACTACCTGTTCTATTGAATAAATATTTATTAGTTTGTCCGTTCATTTGAATGTTTACCTCTATGAGGGCAGGGTCTTTGTTTTATATACCAGTTTATTTCCAGTGAGCTGGAAATAAGGCTGTGCACATATTGGACCTTCAATAAATATTTATTTGGTAGATGAATAAATGAATGAGTGAACCTATTGAATTTATTTTTTAAAGCAATGTAAAATGTTGCAATACTTTTTGCCCTGGTTTCCCAGTATATATTTGGCCTAATATAGACTGGGTTTAATTGGAATGTGATGCCATTCACTGAATTGAAAAAATGCTGGTGAATTTATATCTGCTAAATGAGAGAGTTTAATATAATAATAATTGACAACCTGTCTCCTTCCAAAGTAGGTTAAGTAAAAACATAAATTCTGAGGGTTAAGTAAAAACATAAATTCTAAAGGTAGGAAGCAGGAAGATTATACTTCAAACCTGTGTTAGGATGGTTATTGCAGTTAAGTACTAAATTTACTTGAGAGCTTCTAGACAATTAAGGCAAAAGGGGAAATATGAAAGGTCATATAATTTTCAAAGAGAAATTGATCTATAAGGATTTTCTTCCTTCTCAGAAACAATTTCAGGACTGATAGTTTTCTCTTTTGCCACAACTCTTCCTCAGTTTTGCTCATTAAATAAACATGCAACATACTAGAATGTACTGTTCAGGTTTATATATCCATCACTATAGATCAGTAGAATAAATTTTGGAAAAATTGTAAAAGGAAAGTTGCCATGTTCCAAATCCCTTCTTCTTTTGTCCCCTTTTAGTCTATCTTTGCCCTTTGCCCTTTTATCAAAATAGGAGAAGCTTTGTTATCAGTTATTTACACTTTAAGATGAATGAAGTTGTTACTTTTTTTTCTTTTAACTTCTCCCAACCGTATTTGCATATTAAGTCTTCTGTCTAGTCGTGTAATGTAAGATATAGTGCTCTGGTAAATATCGTAGTCTTTGCCCTCTATGAGCTTTAAACCTACAAAGTAGGGAAGGTAAGACCAAATACAGAAATAATTATAGTTTAATAAGGTAGTAGTGAGCCAATGATCTGTAGGTACTCAGAGAAAGGGTGGAACACTTCATCTGGATAATCAAGGAAGGTTTCATGGAAGAAATATTATTAGAGATGAGACTTGGAATATGGGTAAAATGACATTTGGTGGAAAAGGTGAGGCAAACAACTTGGGTAAAGGCCCAAATGCCAGAAAAAGCAAGACCTGTTTTGAGGACTAACATGTCTAACTAATGTTTGACCCTGTATAGGAAAGTACTAAAAGATAATACTGGAAATGTAGGTTGGTATTAAATTAAGGAGGCTGAAAGATTCTTTCCTCTAAGCATTGAAAGTTATTGTGAGGGAGTTTTGAACAGGGTAGTGAATTAAAACAATGTTTTGGAAAGATTAATCTGGCAGCAATATGTAGGATGAATTAGAATTTGCAAACTTGTGTTAAAAAAGATAACATTTTCCTTATTATTATTCTACTATTAATGTCGTCTGACTTTAAGGAAGTGTGCTTTTTTGACAGTTTCAGAAAAGATGTTTTGGCCCTCAGTTAAATTTCTCTAAAATTGACCTACCACGTCTTAAATGGGGCCAGCATAATTTAAGTATCTTAAGAATACGTTCCCATGGGCCAGCCCCGTGTCGTAATGGTTAAGTGCGCACGCTCTGCTGCTGGCAGCCTGGGTTCGGATCCTACACACGCACCGATGCACTGCTTGTCAAGCCATGCTGTGGCGGCGTCCCATATAAAATGGAGGAAGATGGGCACGGATGTTAGCCCAGGGCCAGTCTTCCTCAGCAAAACAAAGAGGAGGATTGGCATGGATGTTAGCTCAGGGCTGATCTTCCTCACCAAAAAAAAAAAAAAGAATACTTTCCCAAAAGGTTTCTCCCTGAAAAAGTAGACCTTCAAAGCAATCTTTAATATTGGCTTTATATTTTATAGTGTTATATTTTTTAGGTAATGTATCCACATATTTTTTAAAAATGGAAACAGTACAAAATAGCATATAGCGAAAGTCTCTTGTACTGCTAACACCCAGTATTCTAGTTCTCCTCCCCTGAGGGAGCCATTATTTATTTGTACATTAGTCTAGATATCTATACAGAATGTTCACATGGGCAAGTGTATTTTTTTCATAAATGATAGCATAGAACACAGCACATTCTATACCTTACTTTTATCACTTAATGCTATCTCTTGGATGTCGTTTTATGTGTGCTTATTGCTGTACCCCTGAGTTCTTGAATTTTCTCTAAAATAGCACAAGAAGTCTTTTCCACTTAAAAAAAAATTGCCACTTCTTAACATTTAGTCAAAGGATTCTTTGTGAAAAGATTATGTTTCCCTTTTTTTTTTTGTGAGGAGATCAGCCCTGTGCTAACAATCTGCCAATCCTCCTCTTTTTTTTTTTTTTTTTTTGCTGAGGAAGACTGGCCCCGGGCTAACATCCGTGCCCATCTTGCTCCACCTTACATGGGACACCCCCACAGCATGGCTTGCCAAGCGGTGCGTCGGTGCACGCCTGGGATCTAAACTGGCGAACCCTGGGCCGCAGCAGCAGAGCACGCGCACTCAACCGCTTGTGCCACCGGGCCGGCCACTCTGTTTCCCTTTTTAATGATGGTCCACATAGTCTACCGTATTTTTTTTTGAAGTACAAATTATAGTTAATTCTGTTGGTCTGTTTAAGAAAGTAAAAGAACTCAACCTCAGTTTCAAAATCTGTTCAGTATTTTTCTATTTATTGTCTATAATGCTTTGAATTTATATTTTATGATTAAAATGTCATTTTTGTGTAGAAGCCATAGAACTTATTGATTGAATAGGTGTTAGGAAAAGGTAGGAATCAAGAATGACTCCCCAGATTTCTGTTATGAACAACTCAGTAGGTGGTGATGTCATTTGTCAAGATGGGAAACACTGGAAATGCAACAGATTTGGGGGATAACATCATCGATTTAGTTTTGAAATGTTTAGTATATTTATGAGACATTAAAATGGAAATATTAAGAATCCAGTTGGATATTCAAGTTTAGAGTTCAGAAGAGAGATATGGGCTGGAGATATAAATTTCAGAATTTTTTGAAGACACATGGATAGAAGAAATTTTGTAGTGAGAAAGTGAAGGGTAAAAAGAGGGCCCGTTAAAGTGCCATAAGGGGAGCGTCCTGTAAGGAAATTGAGACAGAGTGGTTAAAGAGGTACTGTGAAAACCAAGAACATGTATGTAATGAAAACCAAGAGAAGAGAGTGTTTCTAGTAGGAATGAATGTCAGATACTTATGATTATATGCATCAAAATAGCCGAATGTAATTCTGGTGAATGAAATGTTTTGGGGAAGTTTTTGTGTTTCTTTTTCTCATCTGTTAAAAGTATCTTCTAATTATACTAAAAAGGGTATTTTTTATTATTTTGATATTTACAGGGATATGAAGATTGGTTACGACATAACTCAGATAATGAAGTAAATGGAGCTCCTGTTTATGTTGTTCGAAGTGGTGGCCTTGTAAAAACTAGATCCAAAAACGTTCGGGTATGCATTTAGTAAATAATAAAATCAATTATATTTTGGTATCACAAATTTTAATCTGATTATATCTTTTAAAATCCTGCTTTCCTACATTAAAATATTGTGACAGACCACTTGTTTAGAACTCAATAAAAATAAGTTCTTGCCTTTTAAAATCTGTATTCACTTTTCCCCAAAATTCTTCATAGGTGGGCGACATTGTTCGAGTAGCCAAAGATGAAATTTTCCCTGCAGATTTGGTGCTTCTGTCCTCAGATCGACTTGATGGTTCTTGTCACGTTACAACTGCTAGTTTGGATGGAGAAACTAACCTGAAGGTGTGTACGTGTATATGTTTGAGTGTTGCTCTTGGTGAACAGAATGTCTTTGGGTTATAGTGATATTTTCCTTTGGTTAAGGTAATGAAGTTTGACATGATAAAGGAGAAATTTTTTAAATTCCTGAAACTTTAAAAAATTAAGTTTTTTAAAAGAAATAATGTTATATATTTATTTCAGGGGAAGCCTCACATGGTTTAGTCAAGTTAAAGAAAAGTAGAAAGTGTTTTTAGGAAATATATAATCTTTTAATGTTATGGTTCTTTTTAAATAAGGGACACACTTAAATTTTTCTCAGTTTTCAGAGTACAATCAAGGATGAAAAGTGATTTGTTTTCCTATTAAATAGCTTATAATAAACTTGGAGCAGTAGTGACTGTTAACAGACCGCATTTCCTCATATGCAAGTTGCCTCTGTCGGCAGCTAGGCACAGCAGCTTCTTTTGCTGCTTGTTATTTTGCGTTCTTCTTTCTCCTCTTCTCTGCTATACAGTTAAGTGATCTCAAGTGCAGTGTGCTGTGATTTCATCTAGAAAAGAGTTGGAAATAGTTGAGATCTAAGGTCCCGTTTGGATCTTGAAACTGTTCAATTGAATCCTTTTTTTTTTCCCCAGACACATGTGGCCGTTCCAGAAACAGCAGTATTACAAACAGTTGCCAGTTTGGACACTCTTGAAGCTGTGATAGAATGTCACCAACCAGAAGCAGATTTGTACAGGTGTGGTGTGATAGTCAGCATACTCATTTTAAATCCTGTTTACAGATCTCATTTTTACAATTGTAAACGTACAATGAAATCTTTAGCTAATTGAAGACATTATTGGGGGAAGGAAGGGGACATCAATTAAGAGGGAAAAAAACACTAAAAACAGAATTTGCCAAAATTCTAAGCCAAAGTATTAATTCAGAAGCAGTGCTTTTAATCACACGTTTCTTCCCATTATCTTCTACTTCAATTTGAACTGGCTTTATAACTGTAGTAGTAAACTTCATAACTGTAATAGTAGTTATAGGAGAAGTGAGATTATTTCCTTAGAAGAAGAAAAGCTAATGATGTGTGTGTGTACTCCATGAAGGCAAGGACTGTGTCTTTGTGTTCCCTAGGAACTAACTCCTTTTAATATTATAATCTATTAAATACAGTGTAAGTCATCTTTCTGTGATAATGCTAATTATTGTGGGCTATGGAATGGAAACAACTTTTTATTATTAAAGACTTATATGAGAAATTAAGCTCATTTTTGCTCAATAGGTGGTGATAGAATGTAAATTACAACCAAACTGTAAAAAATCACCCTCAGCTTCTTGTCATGTTATATATCTCCCTCTGTTGGTTGAAATGTTTAAAAATCTTATCATTAGTCATTGGCTTTTCCAGATCTCTTACATATCTTTGTTCTGGATCAATACATTTATAATGGAGTTTTCTCTATGTGATGTTATAAAAATCTTGCATTTTCATCACAGTCAAATGCAGTGTAGAGTTTTCCAATTAACTGTAAAAATTTGGAGTCCTGTGCTTTAAGAGCATTTAAACTTTAAAATAGATTTAACTGTGAAGAATTTAGAACTTTAAGATTTCTATTATTTCCTGGTCTCAGATAATGATGAGTTATTTTAAAAAATTATTAAAAACTAAAAGATGATGCAGCGTTACGCAAGCATAAGATTAATATGAGATCAAATATGACTAATGCTTTGGTGGATGATTTTTATGTTATCTTGGAAAATGGGGTGAAAGTGAAAAAACTTCTTTTAATAGGAAATAATTCACTGTTAAATATAAGATGTTTTTCTTATTTTCTCTTTTCCACTTCCTTACTAAATGTATACATTTTGTTTTAAATATAAATGTAATATAACTACTATAGAAGACTTCAGTAATGGAAAGAATACTCATAATTAATTATATCACTACTTTAAAAATTTTATTGCTGTTTTTGTTTATTCATTCATTCAACAAATTATTGTTGAGCACCTATATGCTCATTATGATAGATGATAAATAAGACGAATAAGCATAGTTTCTGTCCTTGAGGAACTAACTCATAGCTGTAAAGACATTATATATATAACATTGTGTTTTTTCGCTTTACTATATACTATATAAAAGGGAAATATTGAAAGCATTTTAAATGTCCAAGTAGGAGAATGCTTAAATGGGTGTGTGGTACAGATATAAGATGAAATATGTAGATAATAAAAGTGATGTTTTCAAAGAATTTAATGAAGTAGGAATATACTAAAATAAGATACAGAGTTGTAGCTGTCATGTGATCCCAGTTATATGAAAAGAAATGTGTATGTATGTGTGTTTTGATAGGTAGTTAAGTAGCAAGATAGAAAAATGGGTAGGTACAGAGAAAAAGAAAAACCTGGAAGAATTACATGTCAAAATGTTAGTAGTTATTTCTTGGTGGTAGGATTTCAGCTGCTTTTAATACCTTTTTGTTCTCCATATTTTCTAACATTTCTTGAAAGAATATGAATTGCTTTTGTGATTAAAAAAAAAAAAGTATTTTCCATCTTACTGCATAGTTTTCTTAATGATCATGTTTAATGGCTGCATAACAGTCTGAGTGAGTGTACTAGAACCTAACCATTCCCTAATCTTTCAATACCCAACTCTCTCATTGTTTGGCTATTGCAAATATTGCATGGCGCCTTATTATAAATAAGTTCACCAATTCAAAATCCAGTGGTTGGATGGTTCATCACTCCCTCCTCTGGTACAGTTAGTTCACTTAGCTTCCGGGACACTCCCCTATCTTGGTTTTCCTCCTCCCTCACCAGTCCCTCTTCTCAATGTCTTTTGCTGATTTCTCCTCTTCTCCCTGACTGCTTGATGTTAGAGTGCCCCAGGACTGTCCTTGGTCCTCTTCACTTCTCTACCTATACCTTTAGCTATCTACACTCAATCCTTTGGTGATCTCATCCAAGCTGATGGCTTTAAAGATTATCTACATGTTGATGACTCCTAGATTTATGTCTCTATCCCAGACTTCTTTCCCAAATTCCAGAATCTTATATCTAACTTCCTGTTCCACAATTTCACTTGGATATTTAGTAGAAATCTCAAATTAATTATGTTGAAAACTGAACTTCTGATTTTCCCTCCAAAACTTTTTATGCTAACAGCCTTTCCCATCTCAGTTGATGACGTTTCATCCTTCCAGTTGTTGAGGCCAAAAACCTTGGAGTCAGCCATGACTCCCCAGATCCCTTCTCTGCTCACCTCTCCTCACCTCTTCTCCCACATCTCATCCCAGTCCATTGGTTTACCTTCAAAATACATTCAAACTCTGACCATCTTTCACCAATTTCACTGCTACTAGTTTGGTCTGACCCAGTATCATCTCCTGCCTGGATTACTGCCATCAATGGCATCCTTCTGGTTCTTCTGCTTTCCCTTCTTTCCCTTGCAGTCTTTTCTCACAAAAGCAGCCATAGTGATCCTTTTTAAATGCAAGTCAGATAATTGCATTCCTTTGCTCAAACCCTGTAATGGCTTTTCCATCTCACTCCAAGTCAAAACCCATATCTTTATAATAATCTATACAACCTTACTGATTGCCCTCATCCCCAACCTTTCTCTGACCTGATTTCTGACTCTTCTCCCTCTTGCTCATCCTCCAGCTACGCTGGCCTCATTATTTTCCCTTGAGCATGCCATATCCACTCCCAGCTTTTCACTAGCTGTTCCTTGTCTAACTCCTTTACCACCTTCTAGTCTTTGCTTAAATCACCTCTTCAGTGGAGCCTGCTTTGACTATTTAATACTGCAACCTAATCCTTCTTATCCTGTTCTGCTTTTCTTTTTTCGTAATACCCAATACCTTCTAGTATACTATGTAATTTACTTATTTATTATGTTTATTGCTTATTGTCTCTCTAACTAAAATTGTAAACTTCAAGGGCAGGAATCTTTGGGTGTTTTTTTTCACTGATGTATCTCACACACCTAGAACAGCTCTGGCATGTAAGAGGCCTTACTACATATTTGTTCACAGTTGAAAGAGTAAATATCTTTATATACTTAATTTTATGCACTTAAATTTTCCCTTTTATTGAGTTACTGCTCTGATATATGCAAGCAAGATTTGTGTGTGTATAGTTTAATTAACTATTGAATTAAAGTACCTAAAACAGTACCAGGCATATAGTAGACACTCAATGAATATCTGTTGAATGAATGGATGAGTGATAGAGTTCCAAATTATTACTCAATCGAAGGATGTGTGAACATTTTTATTGCCCATTCATTCGTCAGATATTGAGTGCTTCCCGTAACCAAGGTGTAGTGCTAGACACTGACGCTACAACAGTAAAGAAACAATGATAGCTCCTGCCTCCTGGAGTTATGATCTGGTACTAGATTATTCCTTAAGAACAGACAGAGCTGCAGAAGTGGAATTATTGGATTAAAGCCCTAATAGAATTTGGCCTTTAATAAACGTACTGACACATTACTTTACAAAAGCATTGGACTAATTTTTCATTGCCATGAGCAAAGTATAAGTTTATCAGGTTTTACAAGTTTTGCTGATTTTATAAATAACTAGTTGTAAAACACTAGTTTTATTTTTTATTAGAACTGCTAAGCATTTTTCTATGTTTGTTTATTAATTTCTCCTCCTTGAACATTGTCAGTTCCTTCCCAATTACCTGTTTATTAATTGGGGTTACATTATTCCTTTTTAAAGAACTTTAATAGCTTATTGAGAGAAGCTAAAGTATGAAAAGAAATGATCTCTGCCAAGCCACTGGAAGAAATAAAAACTAGGAGAGCCTTTTGTTTAGGAGCAGCCTCTAGGAGGTGCCTATTTCACAGTATTTGCCATTTTCTCTTCCCTTTGCTCCTTTAGTTCTTTCTTTCTCTTCTTTTCACCTCTTTATTTGTTAGACTCTTACTCAGCATTTCCACTTTTAGGAATTTTTTCTTATGAAATTCTACTCCTAGGAATTTATCTTAATGAAAATATGAAAAGATATATATACAAGGTTGTTCAGGAGTACATTATTTAGACTGTCCATAAGTTGGAAAACAACTAAACTTTCATCAGGATTGAATCATTTAAATAAATTATGCAGTGACCCAAAAATGCAGTACTATGTGTGGCCATTAAAAATAATGATGTAAATCCCTGTTTTTGACAGAACATGTTGGGGGTGGGGGAGGAATGTTACCAATAGTATTTATAGTATTATCCTATTTTTGTTTTCAACTTATATATATATATATTTATCTATATGTGCATGGAAAAAAAGCCTGGATAACATACCCCAAATTATTAAGTGTTTATATTTGAGTAGTGAGATTACCAGTGATTATTTCCCTTTTGATGTCCTTTTATATTGTCTGAATCGTTTTATAAAATATGTGTGTTTGAGTGTATGTAGTCTTTATAATCAGAAAAGAGAATAATAAAGCTATTTCCACTTTGAAACAAATCAAAGTGTGGATTTGGAGAAAGGACTAAGGAAAGTGCAAGATGAGTTAATTAGCATGGAACTGGCATGAACAGATACAATAAGTGCCTTAGAATCAAGGATAAGAGCACAGATAAATTCTAACAAAAGACCTGTTTTCCTTCATTTTAACTCAGAAAAATCTAAAAAGACTGATCACACATCATCTATGAAAGATGCCCATGGAGAGACTAGCTGAATTGGTTCTTTGAACCTAAATCCAAAGTTGAGGCTGGAACCAGGGCTACATAAAATGCCATTAAGTGGAGATGATAAAAAAACACTGCTTCTCCCTGATACAGGGAGCTGAAGGAAGTGGAAGCAAGAGATTAGCAAGAAACAATGAAGCCAAAGTCTGCAAGGGATAAATCATCGGTGACCTGGAAACCGGAGGAATGATAGGGGATGTTTGGAAGGGAATGCTTAATATTTCTTTGCCCAGTTAAATGATTAACATGAAGCTCTGTCTAGAATTTGCTTCAGCTCAGAATTTACTTCCCACTATAGTAGAAAGTAATTGTATACTTGAGTTGACTCTATGCTATGGAGCTGTTTTGGTATTGGAAGTTGGAACTGAAAGGCCAGGCTATGAAAATATGCTATGATAACAGGCCACTCATTCTAGATTTCAGGCAGCCAAAAGTTAAAGAAGCTCTGAAGTTCACCAATAGGTTTTTGCTTACTACTCTATTCCCACCACTTAGCTCACACATAGTAGTTACTCAATGAATATTTGTTGGATGAATGAATGCATGAATAAGTACATGAATGAGTGAATGAATGATTCTGGTCACAGGAGGCTTATTTAGTAAACTGTGATGAAATATGTGAGCATTCATTGTTAGCTAAATAATGTATGCATCTTTTGTGTAGCAATTGTAAATTCTCATGATGACCAAACTAATAATAGTAATATATAACATTTGCATAGCTGTTTTGAAAACATTTTTTCATTCATTACTTCATTCATAGCTGGCGTGGAGATGGCAAGAATATTAAATTTTTTAAAGCTTAATGACTAATAATTATTCACTTTTGTAATTTCTAACATAAATATTGGACCATTCATATATACAAAAGTTCAAAAGGTTGGTTTTGTTTCATGTATAAGAATAGTGCCAAAACTTTCTAAAATTTCCACCCGTTGATGTCATAAGTAATATATCATTGTTTTTTTTGTAACATGGTGAATTCTTTGATAGATTCACAGGTCAGATGATGATAACTCAACAATTGGAAGAAATTTTAAGGTAAGAAGAAATGTGCATTATCCAATTACTTTTAAGTGAGAATTCTTTGGAGGAGGGACTAAAATCAAGTTAAAGGGAGGTTAGGTAAGTAAGCAGCATATCGTGAAAAAGGGTTAACATAAAAGCAGTTAGCATTTTATCTTCTAGTAATTTGCAGCAGCAGCAAGTGAGGATGAAACAAATCCCATGAAATGATAAGAGAATAATTTAGTAAGATTATTTGTATACTTGTATTTCTTTTTCGAATGATATTAGGTAGTAACATAAAAGAAAACATAGCCATTCTTATTCAGATCCTTACACATTTAAACCCACTACACTTAAAGTCCAGAATAAAAAAGCATGTTTTATAGAATGTTTAACAAGTATGAATGTTATCGGCTTCTTCACTTCAGAATCATTCAGCAGAAACTAGAGTAAATATTTAGTGGCCAATCCAGAACCTCATATTTGCTCTTCTGATTTGTTTTTTGTTTGGCTGGTTGTTTTGGTTTGTTTTTCCTCAATATTCAGGTTAATTTCTGGCACCTACATGAAAGAAGGCTTTTCGTCATTTCAAACATTTGCTGATAGGATGAGATTACATTGTTACTCATGACCACCAAGCCGTTAGAATTTGGATTCCAAGAATTTAGAATAAATCTTGGAATCAGCCCTTGAACTTCTAATCAAATTAACATTCCACCTCTTTTCTGGAGACGTGTTCAGTTTATACTGGCTGCATGAAATAGGTCACTGACATAAAGAGTTGAACATTTTTTTAATGAAGTCTTCAAGACAAGCCACCAAAAATATGCATCAGCACTGATTCACATTTTTAATAAACATTAACATAGGAACACGTTCAGTAAACTCTGTAACAAGGTGTTTGTAAGAGTAGGACCCCTGCTGAATAACTGTGTCTAGATTTTATTTTGATTTCTGTAGTGACATAGTGGAATACATGTGTGGATACATAGTCTGCATTTCCTTAAGATATTATGGCTGGTAAAGGAAAAGATCAATTACATTACGTCAGCCCCTAGAATGATTAAAAAAATGAGCCATGTTCTTTTATGAAGCAACCTGAGTGAACTGATGAATGATCTTTTAATTTGAAGCCATCATTATATCCCAATTTTATATGCCAGTGTGAGCTCAAGGTTTTTCTGTTCATTGCTAGAACCAACACCAAGTGAAAAAGAGCTATTTTATGACTCCTGAATAATTGGTTTTGGAATATGTGTGGAGTGTACTCCAACTATGACTATCTAATAAAACCATACTTGTTAACCATGTCCCAAACACCTGACCCTCCTTGGTTCATTGAATTTTTTAGAGTCTTTGGGTTTGCAGACATCTTCAAAATTGGTTCAGATTCTGTTTGATTTGGATAACTATGTATGTATGTTTCAGAAAAGCATAAGGAATATCAACAAAATTAAGGCTTTTATACTTATCCATAACAGAGTCTTATCATTTTGCTATCACTAAGAAAATACAATTTCCTTTCTAGTTATTCCTTCTCGTTTTATATCTCCTTAATGGAGAGAAATTCAAACACCAAGAAGACCTGTGCTCCAAGAAGTGTACAATGCAAGTAGTCAAGTTTTAGTGTCGATCTAGAAAAAGTACTAACTCACTTACTACATTATGTCTTATAATCCAGTTAATTTTAATTGTGCAGACTCATGCATTTATACACAAATCATACTATAACTTATGTTTACATTGCATTCTAATTATGAATTTTCCTTTTGAAAACTTCATTAATTTTGGTCAAAATTTTAAAACTTCATTTTCTGTTAAACATTTTAAACTCATTGCTTATTAATCTTTCATTTTGCTGTGTTTTATGTTTAAAAATTTTGAAACTGGTGGCTTTGTGAGTTTATTTACAGGCCTAATCTTATTTCTGAGCCACTAATCTTAAAGTGACTGAAATGCTAAAGCAGATATTTGTTGTTACAGTGACTAACATCATGTTTGACCTAGACAGCTTTATTGTAGCTGAGATTTTGGGTTTATTTGAAAGCAGTGTTGTAACAATAGCTCAAGTACCTTCTACTGAAGATGCCATTTTAGAATTTAATTGAATTTTTAATATCTTCAATGCCTTTGGTTATTTTTTTTCCCCTAGACCTCTGGGGCCAGAGAGTCTCTTGCTTCGTGGAGCCAGATTAAAAAATACAAAAGAAATTTTTGGTTTGTATACATTGGAAATTTTTACTTATAGATTCATGTTGATGCTTTATATGAAGTATTTTTTAAAAGCACAGTATTTGTGGTCTTTTGGTTGGATAATTTATTACTTAGTTAAATGTTGTCTATGATAATTTTCTTACAAAGATTGCATTAATATAATTTTGTGTTGTATTTTTTCTTGTTAATCCCTATTTTTGAATAATGAACTAGAACCTTGCTCTTATAATTTCTTTGTGGATAGTTGTGAAACTAAACTGAGTGTTAAAAAGATAATTCTGGCACTTCTATTAATGGTGGATAAGAACCAATATAATCTGGCATCATGGTGCAGTAAACCATCTGTATAATTCCATTATTATTCTTAGATTGGATTAAAAACTGCTGACTCATTCATTTATCCATTCATTCATTCCTCAAATTCCTATTGACCTATGATTATATACCAAGTATTGTTGGAACATATACTGACCAGCTCAAAAGGATGAATAAAGAGTGCTCTTGCATTGGAGATGTACACTAGTTCACTATGCTTTGAATCAACTCGAGGCAAATTGTGAAGTTGATGATAACCTTTGGCTATCAACTAGCTCCTCCCCTTTCAAGAGTGGCCAGCTTATGTTATTCGCTGAATGTTTACAGCTTTTGAGGTCCTCTTCTTCATTCTCTTCTTTCGTATTAACTGTACTATATTTTCTCTCTCAGTATTAGGCTCTCTGATAAAGAAATCCATATACTTTAAAAAACGGAAAATAACAAATGTTGGCGAGGATGTGGAGAAATTGCAATCCTCATACATTGCTGATGGGAGAGTAAAATGTTGCAGCCTTTGTAGAAAACAGTTTGGTAGTTCCTCAATAAGTTAAACATAGAATTACCATATAGACCCAGCAGTTCTACTCCTAGATATGCTCAAAGAATTGAAAATAGTTGTGCAAACAAAGACTTGGACAAGAGTGTTCATAGCAGCACTATTCACAATAGGTAAGGGGTAGATACTGCCCAAACGTCCGTCACCCGATGATAAACAAAATGAAGAGTATTCATGTAATGGAATATTATTCACCCATAAAAAGTGAAGTACTGACGCATGCTACAACATGGATAAACCTTGAAATATTATGCTGAGTGAAAGAAACCAGACACAGAAGGCTGTATATTGTATGATTCCATTTACTTGAAATACCCATAAGAGGCAAATTCATAAAGACAGAAAGTAGATTAGTGGTTCCCAGGGGCTGAGGAGTGGAGGAGAATGGATGATGATTGCTTAATGAGTACAGGGTTTTCTTTAGGGGTGATGAAAATGTTCTCAAGGTAGTTAGTGAGGATGGTTCCACAACATTGTGAATGTACTACGTGCCACTGAATTGTACACTTTAAAATGATAAACTGCATGTTATGTATACTTTACCACAATTTAAAAAAGAAAACCATAATAATGTTCTGATGGCAAAAGCCAGACAGCCAAGGGCTTTTTAGAACTCTCGTGTAAGCCTGTATTTTAACACATCTCTTTAGCAGTTACACTTTTCACACTCTTAAAAGAAACTGTTTGAATGCCTTTAGATGGGTCTGCTGTTGTTGGCCTCAGCACCACCTCTCTCTGTTGTATTGTTCTGGCTGATTTCTCGCATTTCTGTAATTTTGGTGCCCTTTGTCATTTGAGTTATAATCCCTGCCTTTAAGGAATAATTCTAATGATGAAAATTCCAAGACATATCTTTAGGAAGAGGGCATGATGAATCTTACACTGCTTCTCAAATCTTACTGTTTAGGGATGGGCATGAACATTTATTGATTATCTGTCTCTTTCTAGGCACTTTACTAACTTGTCAGACAAGCCTCACAACAATTCTATGAGGTATTTTTTCCCATTTAAAGATGGGGAAATTGAGACTCAGAGAGATTAAACAACTTGCCAAAGGACGCAGAACTGATAAATGGCAGAGCTAGCATTCAAACCATGGTATAATTCCGAAGTGTTTTGTGTTTTTTTTTGTGTGTGGTTTTTTTTTTTTTTTTTTTTGGTGAGGAAGATCAGCCCTGAGCTAACATCCACGCCAATCCTCCTCTTTTTGCCGAGGAAGACTGGCCCTGAGCTCACATCCGTGCCGGTCTTCCTCCACTTTATGTGGGAGGCTGCCACAGCATGGCCTGACAAGCAGTGCGTTGGTGCGCGCCCGGAATCGAACCCTGGGCCACCAGCAGCAGAGCACGCGCACTTAACCGCTATGTCACGGGGCCAGCCCCTGGAAGTGTTTTTTTAATAAGGCTGGTCTTGCCTAATTTCATTCACTCCCCAGTTTAAGTCCCGTTATTTCTGTCATTCTCACTCATCTCAGAGTTATTCACATAGGCACAAATTTTAAAAACAGCACTTTCCTTGTGTTTACTTCATTTGCTCTGACAGATTTCCATATCATCTCTTCAGTGCTTATGAAATTATGTCTAGACTCCAGATTCTGGCATTCAGGGCCTTTCAAACTCTGACCCCAGTCCATCGTGCAACCTAACAGAAAGTGCTGTTCCATTTCTGTCTTGGTTAATATTGTTTGCTGTATCTTTAATGGCCTTTCCTGCCATCTTTATCTTTCCAAATCCTTTTCCTCCGTCAGGAGGAGTAACTCAGATAACATCTGTTTCGTTCAGATATCTCAGTTATAACCCAGGAACAGAACCACCATGCTTTCCATCCAGCAGGTTGAGTGATTGGAGTTCCCTAAAATTGGACTCAGAAAGCCTTTTAAAAACTCTGAAAAGACATAAAGGAAAGCCAGATTCTAACAAATGTCAGATAATACTTTTTCTTAGATGTTTTCATGCTAGTGAGTGCATTTCTCTTGTGAAACATGCTAGAAGATTATTTTAAAAGACTTGTTTTGTTTTGCAGGTGTTGCTGTATACACTGGAATGGAAACTAAGATGGCATTAAATTATAAGAGCAAGTCACAGAAACGATCTGCGGTAGAAAAGTAAGAAAACTGTCTATTTTCATTTACACATAAATATGACTATGGATATGTGTATTATTTTGGTTTTGTTAAATTAAACTTCATCAAAATTAAAAACGTCTGCACTTCAAAAGACATTGTTAAAAAAATGAAAAGACAAGCCACAGACTAGGAGAAAATATTTGCAAAGCACATATTTGTAAAGGGCTGGTATCCAGAGTATCCAGTCTCACCACTTGTTTTCAGCATTATCCTTTCAGCATTATTCCACAAGGCAAACAAATAAAAGGCATAAATATTAGAAAGTAAGATGTAAAATTGTCCCTACTTGAAGACACGTGATTTTTCACACAGACAGTCGTAAGCATCCAACAAAAAAACCTATTAGAACTAATAAGTGAGTTTAGCAGGGTCTCAGAATACAAGGTCAAAAATAATCATTTCTATATCCATATACTATAAGCATTTTGAACAGTACCATAAGTATAGTAAATACGTTTGTAATCTTGTGTGTGGGTTCTTTTATGGCTAGTAAATAGATTCTATTGAATGGTCATTTTTTAAAAACAAAGACTGTGTCCTTTAAATAGCTACCACAATATCTTACATATTTTTCTATCTTATTTAATACCAGTATTAATTTCCAAGCAGATGAATATAATAACACGTAATTGATATGTTTTATATTCTCTTTTTTGCATTTCAGGTCAATGAACACATTTTTGATCATTTACCTCATAATCCTTATTGCTGAAGCCATCATCAGTACTATCTTGAAATATTCATGGCAAGCTGAAGAAAAATGGGATGAACCTTGGTATAACCAAAAAACAGAACATCAAAGAAATAGTAGTAAGGTATTTTATGGTGTTCTTGACTCTCCTGTAAAGGAAACTTGCTTTTTTGGCACAAGTACTGCTTTGGTAGTGACTCCTGATAGGAATGACCACTTTGATCTCCTAAAACTATTTCTACTGAAGGGTGGCAAAAGGACGTTGCAAACGAAGAGTAGCCAGAATGTTTGTACTGGTATATGCCTTTTGCATTTTAGAGTGTAAGCACCTTATATTCCGGATGGCATGACTTGAATAGTTATAAGAGATCACAAAAATTTAAATAGTTTATATTGGCATTCCACTTCAGTACTACAAATTCAATTTTTTATTCCATTTACTGTATGTTAGAAGTGAATAAAAGAGTAAGTTGATTTATTTTCAATTCTGTCAGAATAATTCAGGGAGTCTTACTGTCAGTCTATTGATGGTGTGAAGTAGTAACACAAATTATGTCATATAAAGTTTTAAACTGATTAAATATGGACTACCAAGAGAATTTAACCTGCAATTTTGGTAAATAATTCTTCTCCAAATTTCACTTTAGATTAAAATACAAATATTGGAAGACAAATTTGAACGTTGAGAGACCATAAAGCAGACAATGACAAGAACATATTTTCAGTGTCACTCACAATTGCGTATTTTATTTTTCACAGAGTGCATCTTAGAATGTGGTACTGCTATGCCATTGAAGTAACAAATTAAGCAATTTGAATTTAACCTTTTCTTTTTTTACTTTGTTTAAGATTCTAATGAACAACAAAACAGTCAAAGGAAATGTGTTAATAAGACAGTTCAATAAATGAATTTCAACGTAGTTGATGGTCTGTCTAAACATGAAACTTTCTGATAATTCTCATATATTTTCTCTTATAAAACAATTTTTTTTTATAGATTCTGAGATTTATTTCAGACTTCCTTGCTTTTTTGGTACTCTACAATTTCATCATTCCAATTTCATTATATGTGACAGTAGAAATGCAGAAATTTCTTGGATCATTTTTTATTGGCTGGGATCTTGATCTCTATCATGAAGAATCAGATCAGAAAGCACAAGTCAATACTTCTGATCTGAATGAAGAGCTTGGACAGGTAAAAATGATCCTTTTATTTTGTTTTTCTAATTTATTGTTTTTATCAAAACAATATGTATACAAAGACTAATAAAACAGAAAATATTATGAGGCTCCTACCAAAAAACAGCCCTACGTTGCTCCACACCTAATTCCTGTTTTCTATTTTTAAATCTTAAGCTGTTTCTTCCATTATTTAGCACTCTATTTTTATATAGTATTCTTTCTTGATTTTTACATTTTAGGCATTATTTACTATAGACTATAAAGATATAACTCTTATACTACTCCTTCCACACACATACCCAGACACATACATACTCACTTTGCCTCTCCATAGCCCCCCAGTATTGTTATATCAGAATTTGTGATTTAATACATTTTCATTTATTGACATTTAGTATGACATTTTATGACTGTTTTAGTATTGCTCACTAGGTCCTAGTTCTTTATGTGTGCCTTATAATACTATAATTACATTTTCTTCTTTACATATTTTGTTTCTCCTAGAGTTAATTGCTGTGTTTTTTCATTTGCTTAATTCCTATGTCTCAGGTGTTGTATTTATCTTTACTATTCTCAAGAATATGAACTTTGAAGTACAGTTTCTCACTTATCTTTATTATCTTGGTCAAACCTATTTTTTTCCAGCTTTACCTCCCTTTTGGTATATTAACCTTTTTACTCTGCAATGTTGCTGAACTCATTTATTAGTTCTTGTGGTTATTTAGTGGATTTCTTAGGATTTTCTGTATACAAGGTCATATTATCTATAGATGGAGATAGTTTTATCTCTTCTTTTTCAATCTGAATACCTTTTATGTCTTTTTTTCTTACCTAATTACCCTGGCTAGAACCTTCAGTACAATGTTGAATAAAAGTGGCAAGAGCAGACGTCTTTGTCTTGTTCCTGAACTTAGGGGGAAAAGCATTCAGTCTTTCTCCATGAAGTATGATGCTAGCTATGGGTTTTTTGTAGATACATTTTGTCAGATTGAGGAAGTACTCTTCTATCCCTAATTTGTTGAGTGTTTTTATCATGAAAGGGTTTGGGTTTTGTCAAATGCTTTTTCTGCATCTATCAAGGTGATCATTTTATTAATAGAATAAAAGACAAGTACCATTTTATTAAACATTGGCAGTTTTCATTGATTTGTATTTGTTGAATCAATCTTGCATTTCAGGGATAAATTCTGCATGTTTATGTTGTATATAATCCATTTTATATGTTTCTGGATTTGGTTTGTGTCTATTTTTGTAAGGGATTTTGGTCTGTAGGTTTTTTTTTTTTTTCCCTTGTGATGTCTACCTCCCTTTTTAAATGACTTCTTTCTCAGTCATCATTGCAATAATAAAATCCTCACCATAATCCTAGTTGTTTCAAGACTTGACTGTGTCATCCTTCTCTTTTTGGACCTACCTTCTTTTGGGGTTTTCTTGAATTAGTCTCAAAGAGTAATAATGTTATATGTCTTATCTACTTTTTAAAATATTTTCTTTTAAATGTTTTTCCTTTTTACTGAGTTTGTTTCCTGCCCTCAGTTTCAGTGTCCTGTCTGTCTATTTTATACAACTTCCCACTTCTGACTTCTTGTGTTGCTATCATTTTATGTTCCTGTTCCCAGCTCTGTACCATTTCTCCTGGGCCAGATTCTCTTTCACATTCTAGGTTATTAAGCATCCCTTCTACCCTTGCTCAAAGATCATTCTTGAGTCCTACTACTTAAAAACACCTATCCAAGGGATAGAAAAGAAGTACTAATACCACATTATCAGTCAACTCTACAGATAAACATGCACCTAAAGATGCCACAAACTTCAAAGTGTATATACATTTAAAATATTTTGTGTTACCCTGTTTCGTTTCTATGGCATTTTTAATTATCTAATTGTGCTTGGATTATAAGAATCTTGGCATCAGTATATCAGCGTTAATAGGTAAACTTGACTTCAGGAGACAGAGGACGAGGTTTTTTTGTTTAACATAGGACCATGAGCACAAAGGTTTGTTTTCTTTTGTTTTCTATCTCTAGGTGGAGTATGTGTTTACAGATAAAACTGGTACACTGACGGAAAATGAGATGCAGTTTCGGGAATGTTCAATTAATGGCATAAAGTACCAAGAAAGCAATGGTAGACTTGTATCTGAAGGACCAACACCAGACTCTTCAGAAGGACCCTTTTATCGTAATAGTTTATCCCATCTTAACAACTTATCCCATCTTACAACCAGTTCCTCTTTTGGAACCAGTCTTGAAAATGAAATTGAACTAGTAAGTAATTTTTAAATTAATAAATAGAAGTTTCATTTGAAACAGTTCTCTTTGGTAGTTGGTGGCTTATAGCAGAAAAAGTTTAAGTGTTAGTGGGGCAAGGAATATATATTTGAAATGTATGTCCTTTGATTCAACACTGAGAATTTGTAGTCATAACCCAGTTTAACTTGTCACTTAATATGTGTCTGCCTTAGTTTTCTGGGTATTTAAATGAGACTAAGTTAATGCAAGCCCTTACTGCCTTGAAGTAAAGAACACTTTGGTGAGAAAGAGAGCTTAAATTTATTTAATACTTTTTGAAACCTCACTTCCTTCACAAAAGGGTTTTTGCATTTACTTGCTGTTTGGTTATGCCTCCTCTAAAGATACTCATATGTTGAAGCAAATGTGACATTTTACTTTTTGGAGTCAGAAACAACCAGCTGTTATTCAGGCAATTCAAGATTGTAGCACTCTTGTTCTAGATCTTAGATTACCAAATTGTTAACTATATTTTTTAGAATTTTGTTTCTGGTTTCTTATATGTTATTTGGGAATGGGTTTTTTATTGTGAATATTAATTATGTTTCTACAGATTAAAAAACATGATCTCTTCTTTAAAGCAGTCAGTCTCTGTCACACTGTACAGATTAGCAATGTTCAGACTGATGGCATTGGTGATGGTCCCTGGCAATCCAGCCTTGCACCCTCCCAGTTAGAGTACTACGCATCTTCACCAGATGAAAAGGCTCTAGTGGAAGCTGCTGCAAGGTAGTTTAATCTAATTTCTAAATCTTCAGAAAAACACCTTTTATTTTATTTTTTTTTTATAATTTTATGTATTTATTTATTTTTCCCCCAAAGCCCCAGTAGATAGTTGTATGTCATAGTTGCACATGCTTCTAGTTGCTGTATGTGGGACGCGGCCTCAGCATGGCCGGAGAAGCGGTGCGTCGGTGCACGCCTGGGATCCGAACCCGGGCTGCCAGCAGCGGAGCACGCGCACTTAACCACTAAGCCACGGGGCCAGCCCAGAAAAACACCTTTTAAATAAAAATGTGAAAATACTAGAAAATTATTTAATTTGTCAGATGAAATTCATAAATACATAAAGGAGAAGTGCATTTAAATTTTAAGTGAGAGTTTGTAATGTGTCATAAGTTTGTCAAGCTTGCGATGAGTCATTTTGAAGAGATATCTTTAAAAGTCTGGTTACTATGAAATAGGAATAATATAATTTGAGAGAAATACTTGTGCGTGTATTGTTTTGGACCTACTCTATCCTTCAAGTTCTTAAAAATAATGCTGTAGTCAAAGGAATTATTATAAAATACATCTTAAACTTATATTTTAAATTTTTATGCAAGGTATGACATACTGTGAATTATGAAATATTATCCCTTAAATCTTATATTTCTTTTTCCTTTTAATCCCTAGAATTGGCATCGTGTTTATTGGCAATTCTGAAGACACTATGGAAGTTAAAACACTTGGAAAACTGGAACGGTAATTTTTTTCTATGTTGTAATTTCTTATGTATTATATTAAGTATTTAGTATATAACACGAATCAGTGAACTGTGGCCCGCAGGCCAGATCTGGCCTACAGTGCGTTTTTGTACAGCCCGTAAACTACATTACATTTTTAAAGAGTTTTAAGAGTATGCAACAGAAACCATATATGGCCTACAAAGCTTAAAGTATTTACTATCTGGCCCTTGACAGAAAAAGTTTACTGACCCCTGCTCTAGAATGATGTCCATATTATATTGCATCTCATCACAGTAGTAACAGTACTCTACTCTGAATCTTTCATCTATATTTTAGCTTAATGGTTCTTGAATTTACTTATATGTTTTATTTTAAACACTCCTGGGGTAATGAGTTTCCTAGGTTTCTACTCACTAAATAAAGAAAAACTTCCTTATATTTCCTATGATTTTATCTCTAAACATTACGGAACAGCTGTCTTATTTCCAGTATTTCCACTGTTTGATAAATTAGTCCATTATCATATTCATGCCTTTCATTGTTTTATCAATTCTGATCATATCTCAACTCCAGCTGTGTTTTTTTTGTTTTGTTTTTTTTTTGTGAGGAAGATCAGCCCTGAGCTAACATCCGATGCCAATCCACCCCTTTTTGCTGAGGAAGATTAGCCCTGGGCAAACATCGGTGCCCGTCTTCCTGTACTTTATATGGGACGCCGCCACAGCATGGCCTGACAAGCGGTGCGTTGGTGCACGCTGGGGATACGAATCTGCAAACCCTGGGCTGCCAAAGCGGAGCACGCACACTTAACCACTACACACTGGGCTGGCCCCTCCAGCTGTGCCTTTTCAAACTAAATAGAGCTTATTCTTTGGCTGCTTTCATATAGGAGCCTGTCTAGCTCGTTTCATCAACTTATAAACCATCATTTCACTCAGTGTTTTTCTTTGAGATGTGCGTTCTATGTGTACATCATTGTATAAATTCATCCAGAAGACTTTTCAAGCTATACCTGACCCATCCACACAAATTCTTTTACAGCTTCCTGGAGAGGCATTTGTTCCCCCATCTGCACACACATACCCTGTCCGAGGTTCAGAATCACTGCTATAATGAGCCTCTGTTACTAATTTGAGTGTGTTGTATTTCTCAGATGTGTTTTGGCAGAAAAAAGGGTTGCAAATCAGTCACGTTTTTTAGTGAGAAAAACATGCAGCTGGGCAGATCTGGAATTCCGATCCTTGCTCTGCCACTCACAGCTTATTTAACTTTAGACAAATTACTTAATCTTTCTGAGTTTAATAGTCCTCTTCTGTAAAATGAGATTAAACCTACCTCCTTTGGTTCTCATGGATATTAAATGACATAAGGTATGTAAAGTACATGGCGTTTGGTAAGTACTTGATAAATGTCAGTTCTTTCTATTTCTATCTTGTGTTGTTGGGTTTTTTTTGGTTTTTTTTTTTTTTTTGTGAGGAAGATCAGCCCTGAGCTAACATCCATGCCAATCCTCCTCCTTTTTTTTCCCTTTTTCTCCCCAAAGCCCCAGTAGATAGTTGTATGTCATAGTTGCACATCCTTATAGTTGCTGTATGTGGGACGCCACCTCAGCATGGCCAGATAAGAGGTACATGGGAGCGTGCCCGGGATCCAGACCCGGGCCGCCAGTAGTGGAGCGTGCGCACTTAACCGCTAAGCCATGGGGCCGGCCCCCTCTTGTGTTGTTATTAATGACTCATAACCCATTATCTTGAAAATGTAGTTGAGATTAATTCCTTGTTCTAAGTTAACCATTTATCTTATATAGGTATTCTTTCCAACATTGACTTAATATTATTCAAAAAAGTTAAGTTTTTGTCTTATTTTTTTTTCCTTAGGTACAAACTGCTTCATGTTCTGGAATTTGATTCAGATCGTAGGAGAATGAGTGTTATTGTTCAGGCACCTTCAGGTAACCAATGTAAACTTTCATGAATTTTTATTTATATAATATTAAGAGCTTGATAACTCAATTTCCTTTTTAGGTGAGAAGTTTTTATTTGCTAAAGGAGCTGAATCATCAGTTCTCCCTAAATGTATAGGTGGGGAAATAGAAACAACCAGAATTCACGTAGATGAATTTGCTTTGGTGAGTACAAATTTCTGTGATTTAAAAAACTCTAAAAGATACACACACACACACATACACACGCACATGAAAAATTTGGGATTTTACTTTTGCATTAGTAATTTATCAAAAATTATAGGAACTCTGTTACATTATTTGTTGGCTCCACATTCTTTGGTTAAAATTTGACTTTTAACCTGCTAAAATATAAGTTTTCTCTTTCAACCTGTTATAGTCAAGGCACTTCTGGCTGCATGGACCACTCAGATTACTATGGTAAGAAGAGGGGTTTGCTAAAAAACCAGAGGGCAATCCCAAGGATGTGGAGAAACTGGAACCCTCATACATTGCTGGTGGGAATATAAATGGTATAGCTGCTTTCGAAAATAGTTTGGCATTTCCTCATAGAGCGTAGAGTAATATAGAGTTACTATATGACCCAGCAATTCCACTCCTAGGTATACAAAGAGAATTGAAAACGTGTCCACACAAAAACTTGTACACAGATGTTCTTAGCAGCATTATTCCTAATAGCCACAAAATGGAAACAGCCAAATGTCCATCAACTGATGAAGAGATTAAACAATGTATCATATCCATGTAATAGAATGTTATTTGGCCGTTAAAAGGAATAAAGTACTGATATATGCTACAACATGGATGAACCTTGAAAAGATTACGCTGAGTGAAAGAAGCTAGTCACAAAAGACCACACATGCCATTTATATGAAATATCCAGAATAAGCAAATTCATAGAGACAGAAAGCAGATTAGTGGTTGTTGCCAGGGGCTGGAGGAAGGCGGGGAAGAGAAGTGTCTGCTAATGGATATACGATTCCTTTTGGATGTGATGAAAATGTTCTGGAATTAGGTAGTAGTAATGATTACACAACTCTGTGAATATGCTAAAAACCACTGAATTTAAAGAAGTGGATTTTATGGTATGTGAATTATGTCTCTCTTAATAAAAGAATGTAGGGGAATCTTATAAAAACAAAGTGCCACAATTCATGTGAATTGGAAAATTATTAAAAAGGTCTCTCGCACTCTTAGGACCTCATGATCTCTCATTTCTGCATTTCTGTAAATGTATGCTGCATACTCATCTCTGCTCACCTGCCTCCTTTACTTACTTATGGTTTCTTTTCTCCCATTTCTTGTTTTCTAATTGTTAATGATCTAGTTCATCTACCACACTGTAACATCCATGAGAACAAAGACATTGTTCTACCTTGCTATCATTTTAATATCTAGAACAATGCTGACACATAGTTGGCACTCAATAAATATTTGTTGTAGAATGAATTAATTAATTTTATATGTTAATAACTCACATGGTCTCTTAACTGTTATTTAAGAGCAACAGTTATAGCTGTGGGTCATTTGTAAATCAATGAATGCCAGTATTTAGAAATCTACTAAATAGTGTCATATAGTATTTTAAAAATCTACCCTTTCCTGTTATTAAAACATTTTTTTGTGCTTGAGGAGATCAGCCCTGTGCTAACATCTGCCAATCCTCCTTTTTTTTTTTGCCGAGGAAGACTGGCCCTGGGCTAACATCCGTGCCCATCTTCCTCCACTTTATACGGGACACCGCCACAGCATGGCTTGCCAAGCAGTGCGTCTGTGCGCGCCCGGCATCCGAACCGGTGAACCCCGGGCCGCCGCAGCGGAGCGCGCGCACTTAACCGCTTGCGTCACCCGGCCGGCCCTATTAGGACCTTTTTTGGGGGTTTTTCTGAGGAAAATATATAGCAAGAAAAGGAACTTTTTAATAAGCTTTTAGATTTAGGTACCAACTTTCAAATATTAACACCACAAGAAAAATTTGAGCCCGGTAGAATCAGAAAATCAAATATATATTCCTAAGTTTTGTGTAATTCCAATTCACCAGTGAAGATATAATGATGCAATTTAAAATCATTCATTCATTGACTCTAGAAAGTATCATTTGTTTGATAATGGCTACCTTACAGACTTCTTGATTTGAATTGCAAATTTGTCAGACCATGAACCCTCAGGAAATTATGGTCCCCTTTGCCTAAAACAAATTCCGATGAAGTAGATAAAAGTGGATTTGTAATGGTTAAAAACAGGAGAGTAGAACCTGGGGCTGCCTCTCTCTTGACAAACGTAAAGGTATCATTATAGAACTTTCTGGCTTTTCACGTAAAACAGTTTTAAAACCACACACAGAGAAGATAATCTTTATGATCCTGGCTAGGCTCTAATATTCTACAATTCAGTGACCTTAATTATTTTGAGCAACTTTTTAATAATTTCTTTCAGAAATTGAAAGACCTGTGATAATATGTGTCCCATAACTCAGATCATTAGGGCTTTGTGACACTTCATTTATTTCCTATCACTAAATGATAGTACTTTTTAAATTATTTGTAAACTGATTTTTGGTAATCGGTCCTCAGTTTATTTCAATGACTTCTTGATTCCTCATTAGTTTCTTTTGTTCAATTGTTGTCTTTAATTTTTCTGTATTAGAAAGGGCTAAGAACTCTATGTATAGCCTATAGACAATTGACATCTAAAGAGTATGAGGACATAGACAGACGCCTCTTTGAAGCCAGGACTGCCTTGCAGCAACGGGAAGAGAAATTGGCAGATGTCTTCCAGTTCATAGAGAAAGATCTGGTATTACTTGGAGCTACAGCAGTAGAAGACAGGTAAGTATCAGATAAATAGGCAATGTCATTTTTCTCTCATAAGAATTTTTCTAGACAAGTGTTTCTAATTTATGACAAATTCCATTTATTAACATCCTATAATAACTTAATATATTTAAAATCAAAATACAGAGTTAATGCCTTAATTTTTCCCAGTCAGTATATATAACTTTTGTTTTAGTCAGATATCTGAAATAGATAAAAGAATCCAGCTGTGTATGGTTTCACCTATAGGCTTGAATTTTTAGAATACTCCTCAGTGTGCCATGCAGAGACTTGAAGCACCTGCTTAATTCTCCAGCCTCATCTCCCACCACTGCCCCCTTCCACTTTATGCTTCAACAGTACCAAACTGTCGATAGTTCTCCACTGAACAACAACTATAGTTAAAACTATTCTATTTTGTGTCTTTGTTCCTTGTAACTTCTGCCTGGATCATTCTTCCCTTATTCATTTGTGAATACCTGTTCATAAAGGATAGCTCAGATATTACCCCCACTCCAGTAAGACCTTTTCTGATCCCTAGCAGGATTAAAAATTCTCTTCTTTGTGAAGTCTCCATGTTTTGTGGAGGTTATAATTGTGGCAGGATATTATAATTATTTAAAGGCTTTCTCCTCTGTTAGCCTGTGAATTCCTTGAGATCCATTTATTCTTTGTCTTTGTTCCCCAGCATATATCTCAATGTATGTTTCACAGTTTCTTGAATTAAATTGAATTCTACAAATTAAGTCTGTTATGTTTTCCTCTACCCCCTAGATCTAAGGGTGTTTGTGTTTTTTTAATCTAGGTTTCCGTTTACTTTTCAGTTGTCCTCATGCGATTTCTGAGATTCACCTGAGGTTATGTAGCCCTTTACTGTCCGCAGTCTGATTTTTAAACTACTGATATGAGCGATTTTCTTATCAAAAAAAGAGAAAAATCTTCCAATTTGAAATTTAAGACTATAATAAAATAGGAGTTTATGAAGACCATATACTTACTTTGGTTCTACAAAAATCAACTTTGAAGATACACTCTTAAAATATGAAGTTGTAGATTTTATGTTGATCAGATGATCTCTAATTTGGTTATTCCTGTTTCTTTCCTAATGGGAAAAAATATCGCTTATGTTACTATACCATCACATTCCTAGGTCAAGGAGCCCAGAATTTATCTTACTTGTACTATGTGGTTTATACTTAAAATACTGTCAAAAAATATTTTCTACTATTAATTTTGTTTTTTTGTTTTCAGACTACAAGATAAAGTTCCAGAAACTATCGAAGCATTGAGAATGGCTGGTATCAAAGTATGGGTACTTACTGGCGATAAACACGAAACAGCTGTTAGTGTGAGTTTATCATGTGGACATTTTCACAGAACCATGAACATTCTTGAACTTACAAACCAGAAATCAGACAGCGAATGTGCTGAACAATTGAGGCAGCTTGCCAGAAGGTAAGAATATAATTATCTGGATCATGGAGTTCAGGGGTCAGCAAACTATGGCCCATGGGCCAAAAATGGCCCACTGCCTGTTTTTTACAGCCCATGAACTCAAAATAATTTTTTTTTTAATTTATTTATTTTTTCCCCCAAAGCCCCAGTAGATAGTTGTATGTCATAGCTGCACATCCTTCTAGTTGCTGTATGTGGGACGCGGCTTCAGCATGGCCGGAGAAGTGATGCGTCGGTGCGCGCCCGGGATCTGAACCCGGGCCGCCAGCGGGCCCTTAACTGCTAAGCCACGGGGCCGGCCCTCAAAATAATTTTTTGATGGATGAAAAAGAATCCAAAGAAGAATAATATTTTGCATTGTGAAAATTATATGAAATTCAAATTTTAGTGTCTGTAAATGAAGTTTTATTGGAACACAGCCACATACGTTCATTTGCGTATTATCGGTGAGGCTTTTGCATTACAACAGCACAGTTGAGTACTAGTTGTGACAGAGACCTGATGAAGCGCTTTTATCCTTGCTCACTGCTGCTTCATAAACTACAAATCATAGTGACACAGTGATAACTCGGTGGTGTTTTGAGTGCCACATGTATTGCCATACTTTACTACTTTTTATTATCAGTATTTACCCATCATGTCCAAACCAGAAAAGGAAAATGGACTTTTACTATTACACTTTTAAAACACAGTGCAGGGTTATTTTATTATCAAGTTAGATAGCAAAGCATGGTGTTTATTATTCAGTGACACTTTAATATGCTACCTGTTCGAAAAGACATATTCAAAGATGAAATATAAAATCTTATTACAGATAGTCCTATTGTATTAAAATGTAAATCTCATTACAGATCAGCATTAACAGTTGGACATTTGCAATTGATTTTGATAATAGGAAACATTAACTTTGAACCCAACTTAAGCAAAATATTGTTCCTCTCCCCCTGAAAAAAGATGTCCATTCTTCTCATTAGTAGACTTCTATGATTAAAAAATTATACTCAGTTATTATTATTACATTTTTTACTGTGTCAGTAAAAATTTTGTCAAAATTTGTTTCCTCTTTTGTATATAACTACCTGCATAAAATCTCAGTTTACCCTCTTGGCCCACAAAACCTAAAATTGAAATATTTACTTCTTGGCCCTTCACAGAAAACATTTGGCAAATCCTGATCTAGTTCACATGACCAAATTGGGAAGTTAATCTTAAATATTTGTACTCTAAATTCATTCTCTTTTTTTCTAAATCAATTTTTTATAGGCAGATCAACTTTATTTAGGAGCCCCGTTAACACAGTCTAATTTTTCACAATAAATTAAGGAGTGCTTCAGTGTAAGCATCAGCATTGTTTGTATGCAGGCATCTGCGGTCTCCTACAGGTACCTGTCATTTGCAGTCTTGCGACACTAACGCAGAAAAACGAATGTGAAAAGACGGTGCCACAGTTGTCAATGTACATTCAGTGCTTTATTTACTTTTGTTATGCAAGCCTTGATGTGGTACTAAACTCTGGATTTCGACAAAGGAAAACTTGTTTAAGGGATGTTTTAAAGAGACAGTACACCTCTCAGAAGGTTCTTTGCTTGAGTTCAAAAAGATGATTGATCTAGGTAATTATACTATAGTTTGGGAGCAATTCCAGCACCATTGTGGCGCTTAAACATTTAAGTACCATAAGGTAAACATAGAAATTAATAAAACATAGAAATTAATTGCTCAGAATCATTTACTTTATATATGCCTTCTAAAATATTATTCCTAATTATAAAAGTAATAAATGTCTGTCTAAAAATTACTGCAAATGATAAAGAAAATATGATGGTTAATAACATAATACAACCATCTAAAGATAATTATTATTTGTATTTAAAATATTTTGTGGGGGCTGGCCCGGTGGCGCAAGCGGTTAAGTGCGCGCACTCTGCTGTGGTGGCCCGGGGTTCGCCGGTTCGGATCCCAGGCGCACACTGATGCACCACTTGTCAGGCCATACTGTGGCAGGCGTCCCACATAAAATGGAGGAAGATGGGCGTGGATGTTAGCCCAGGGCCAATCTTCCTCAGCAAAAAGAGGAGGATTGGCAGATGTTAGCTCAGGGCCGATCTTCTTCACAAAAAAATAAATAAATAAATAAACAATAAAATAAAATATTTTCTGTAACTCTACTATATATGTGCTTTTAGTGACTCTGTTAAGATCATGGACATTGTTCATTTCCCTTTTTGTATAAAAGCTTTATTATAAAGTGAAGACTATAGCTTAAAATGAATTTTAGGTTTGCTCTGTGAAATTTATGTTATATTTTAGAGATACCATCTTTTTGGTGAAATATGCTGTCTGAGACAACCATATAAGTCCATAGGATTTTGGTTTACAGACTTTCCAGAAGTATCTATTCTAAAAACATTGGATGGAGCAAAGAATTCCATACCTTTGAATGCATTAGTTTATAGATTCATTCCTTCACAAACATGTTGATTGTCTCCTATCTAGGCATTTGGAACACAGAATCATATAAGGTGTATTGTTTACTCTCAGAACAGTTAGAGAGTATAGGAAAAACAGAAGTAAATACGTTGTCATAGACCTATCACAACTGATTGTAACTGAGGCAAGAACAGAAAGCTTTGGGTGGACAGAGGAGGGAAGCTCTGTGGAAGAGCTCGTGGTTGTGTTATCTCCTAAGAGATGAAATGTTAAATGATCAGAGAGTAACACCAAGAAGCAAAGGAGGCAGTGTATGCAAATTCCTAGAGCTGAGAAAGGCTCATTCAAAGAATTGATTGTAGTTAGGTATGGCCAAAGAATGGAATAGATGGGAGAGGGTATGGGAAGTATTGAGACAGAAGGCTACAGAGGTGAGCAGATGCTATTTACTATGTGCCAGAACTGTGAGGTGTTTTCCCATATTTCATAAATATCCCATGGATTCTGAGCTAATATGCTGATTTATGAAGCCCATTTAGAGGAAAACCTTATTTGTGTGCCTTGGGAAGTTTCCCTAGGAAAACTGATCTGCTTTGTGCCACTTTTGGCTGCTGCCCCTTCTTCTGAGGCATGTGCTCAGGCAATGCTTAGGCTGAACCCATTGGAGGCGGCACAGGTTGCTAAGTCAAATTTGGCCTATGGGGAGGAAAAACAGTCAATGTAGGTGCTGATTTCAGATATTGAAGAATTAATAAAAAAAAAAGAAAAAACATTTTTAAGAAGCTTATGTTATAAAAGTGAATTGGTTACCACTTATTAATTACAGTGCAGTACAACAGTGATTAGGCATATTAACTTATAAAACATTTTTTTAATATTAAAAGACTGAAATTTATCAATATATGTTTAGTTTTTATAGCTTGTTACTTATTTAATAAGTCTTACTTCTCATTTAAAAATGGTGGGTACAGCCACTATGGAAAACAGTATGGAGGGTCCTCAAAAAATTAAAAGTAGAGGGGCCGACCCAGTGGCATAGCAGTTAAGTTCACGTGCTCTGGTTCGGTGGCCCGGGGTTTGCCGGTTCGGATCCTGGGCGTGGACCTACACACCACTCATCAAGCCGTGCTGAGGCGGCATCCCACATAGACCAGCTAGAAGGATGTACAACTATGATATGCAACTATCTACTGGGACTTTGGGGAGAAAAAAGGAGGAAGATGGGCAACAGATGTTAGCTCAGGGCCAATCTTCCTGCCCAAAAAAATTAAAAATAGGACTACCGTATGATCCAGCAATTCCACTTCTGAATATTTATCCAAAGGAAATGAAATCACTATCTCGAAGAGATGTCTGCATCCCCATGTTCATTGCATCATTATTCACAACAGCCAAGAATAGAAACAACCTAAGTGTCCATTGATGGATGAATGGATAAAGAAAATGTGGTGTGTGTGTATATATGTAAATATATATATGTAAATATATATACACAAAGGAATATTATTCAGCCATAAAAAAGAAGGAAATCTTGCCTTTTTTGACTACATGGATGGACCTCGAGGGCATTATGCTACACGCAGTAAGTCAGACAGAGGAATACAAATACTTAGATGTGGAATCTAAAAAAGCCCAACTTAGAAATAGTAGAATAGTGGTTGCAGGGGCTGGGGTCTGGGGGAAATGGGGACATGGGGGAAATGGGGACATGATGACCAAAGGGCACAAACTTCCGGTTATAAGATGGTTAAGTTCTGGAGATCTAATATGCAGCATGGTGACTATGATTAACAGTAGTGTATTATATATTTGAAAGTTTTAAAAAAGTAGATCTTAAATGTTATTGCCATACACAAAAAAATGGTAATTACGTGTAGGGATAGAGGTGTTAACTAATTTATTGTGGTAATCATTTCACAATATATACATGTATCAAATCATCATGTTGCACTCCTTAAACTTACACGTTATATGTCACTAATAATCTCAATAAAGCTGGGGGAAAAATAAAATAAAAATGGAGGGCTATTTCTCAGTAGCAGTCTGCTGTGCTGGGAACCCAGTGGTGAGCTGCAGTGTTTTCCTTGTGGATGTGGCACAGTGCTGCTTTGAGCGCTGGCCTTCAACAACATGAAGGAGTTTGCGCCAGAATGTAAATCTATGCACTGCTTCTTTCATCGACAAAGTCTTATTACCAAAGGGGGAGTGAGGAGAAACAGTTGAACAAAATAGTGTGCTCAGAAATGTAGTTGAGGGCCGGCCCCGTGGCTTGGCGGTTAGGTGCGTGCGCTCGCTGCTGGCGGCCCGGGTTCAGATCCTGGGATCGCACCGACGCACCGCTTCTCCAGCCATGCTGAGGCCGCGTCCCACGTACAGCAACTGGAAGGATGTGCAGCTATGACAGACAACTATCTACTGGGGCGTTGGGGGAAAAATAAATAAATAAAATCTTTAAAAAAAAAAAAAAAGAAAGAAATGTAGTTGATTTACATACCGATACAAGCTTTTTGTCTCTTGTGAACAAATAGTTTGCCCAGCTGCCAGTAATGAGACTATACTTTAAATAGTACTCGTGTAGCATATGCTCCCAGGGGAAGTGTTACCCATGTTCCACCATGTATAGTAATATCTGGCATTAGAGTCCATTATATGGGTTAATATGAAGAGACAGTTATGATTCCTTCATTCCTTTCCTTTCTGCTTACACGCATGGTGAATGTAGCTCATGAATTTTCCTGAGCATTCTTGATTTCATTTAATTTTTTTAAGTTAGGATTTGCTAAATGTATAACTATTAATATTTTTATTTTTGTGAGTTTTCATATTCCCAGTTTGGGAGAATATCCTCAGATTATGTGTTACAATTCACATTTTAGAAAATATAGTTACTATATCTATATACCAATTCATTGTAAAATTGAATATCATATGGTTTACTCATTGTATCAGTCACTGTCAGTTCTGCTTAGTCTTAACTGTCAAGTAATACAACTCAGTTTGTTCCCTGGTATATCAGTTTTGTGACATCAAGTCTGTGGGTGAATGGTTCAGTAAAAACCTTTTGTTTACACATGTGTAGATAATATGGCTTTAAAGTATCTTACAGAGGATATAATTATTTTCTCTCTTAGAATTGAAGAGGATCATGTGATTCAGCATGGGCTGGTGGTGGATGGAACCAGCCTGTCTCTTGCACTCAGGGAGCATGAAAAACTATTTATGGATGTTTGCAGAAATTGTTCAGCTGTATTGTGCTGTCGTATGGCACCGCTGCAGAAAGCCAAAGTATATTTGTGTTATAAAAAGTTCCATAAACATGTTTAGATCTAAAAGTGTTCTTTAAGGTTAATGCCTTATCTAGTTCCATTTGATGGTGTGCAGTATATGAATCTTAGTAGGAGTCAGTCACTTCTCATATTTTGAATTTTAACCATGTACATGAAACCTTTGGAGTTTTCAGAGGGAATATTAAAGTTTCAACTACTCATAATGATCTAGAAAGTCTGTGATGGATAGCAGTTTGTGATTTTTCTAAGACAAGTTTGAACTGTGATAACTAAAGTTTCACAAGTTAGTTACTTAACTAGTTACTTACTTAACTATGAGACTCAAATTTGTCTGCACCTTCAGGTGGTTCTGTTGATCTCTGCTTATTCTTGCATTCTCATGAAGTGATAATCTCTGTTAACAATGGCTATTAAGTGATAAATAGAACTTTAGCAAAAAGTTGAAAAGCCAATTAACTTCCGATATGAAGCTGTATACAGGAAGTAATTAAATTTCAGCTAACTTTGATTCCAGTGAAAGCCTATACAAATATGTTTTATAACTCCAGATTTGTAATTTGAGGTCTTAGACTGTATCCTTCACAATGCACATCTAAACACTGATTGTTTCATATGTAGGTCTAATAAATTAGACATCCAATTTTTTTGGCTTCATGGAATTTTGTTACAAAGCCTGTATTATTATAATTTATATACCCCAGTCTATGCAGACTAAAACTAGAGACCAAACAGAGCTAACACCCAGGTTCTTTATAAATGTATGTTCAACAATTCCAAAGAAACCCTTCTTTTGATTTTATTAAATTTAATTTTGATTGCTTTCTAAAAATTTTAAAATTTTATTACAAGAGTAAATAATTATCTTTCTTCTATATCAAATGAAAAGAATAATTTCTTGAGAAAGAAAAAATTTTGCCTGACAAAGTTCAACTAAGTGTAATTGTTTTTTTATACACTTTATCATTATTAAGCTTTTTACAAATTTAAGTTGTATTTATTTATTTATTTATTTTTGTGAGGAAGATCAGCCCTGAGCTAACATCCATGCTAATCCTCCTCTTTTTGCTGAGGAAGACCGGCTCTGAGCTAACATCTATTGCCAATCGTCCTCCTTTTTTTTTTGCCCCCCAAAGCCCCAGTAGATAGTTGTATGTCATAGTTGCACATCCTTCTAGTTGCTGTATGTGGGACGCAGCCTCAGCATGGCCGGAGAAGCGGTGCGTCAGTGCGTGCCCGGGATCCGAACCCGGGCCGCCAGTAGCGAAGCACATGCACTTAACTGTTAAGCCACGGGGCCAGCCCTTAAGTTGTATTTAAAAGATTCTTACTTCCCATCGTAAAATTCAGAGATAGTACTCTGTTCTGCTGTATCATTTCTGACATTCCTAACATCTTAATGGAGACATCTCTCAAAAAATGAACCCCAGTGTGTATTATTCTCTAATATAAAATTAATTTTATTACTCTACTATTCTTAAAGCAGAGTCATTTCAGATAAAGGATTTTATAAAAATACAAGAAAATTGAAATTTTGTCATAAATAACTAATTAGTTATATGTCTTTCAGGTAATAAGACTGATAAAAATCTCACCTGAGAAACCTATAACATTGGCTGTTGGTGATGGTGCTAATGATGTAAGCATGATACAAGAAGCACATGTTGGCATAGGTGATTGATTTTTTTTCCTGAACTTTTAAAGTTGGTATAATTATTTGGTGATTTTGAATTTTCCTTTTGTAGACTAAAGTGCAATATCAAATATATGAATGAAAACTAAATGCAACATGGTAATATATCATGGTGTATTCCCATCAGAAGCCTATTATAATTAAACCCAATATTTAGAATATTTTAATTCCAAATTTTCAAGAAAAGAAATACCATATTAGTGAATTTTATCTTTGTCAATTCTCCTTCATAATAAAGTAGCTTTATTTTTACATGCCATTTTGTACCTTTTAAAGTACTTTCACATATTATTTTATCATTTTTAAACTCTAAATTTGTGATTTACATAATTGCCTTAATGGTTTTAAATTCTTGTTTTAGATGTTATTATTTGCTTTATTTGTCAATCTACAGATTCCACAACTCATTTTAAAGACAATTTTAGAGACAGGAAATTACACCAAACTATAGTATAAATATAAAATTTCAGATAGTTTTCTAATTTAATAACCTTTATTCTAATTTCTTTTCTATTTTTGCCTAAAATTTTTATTGGATTCAGGATACTAATACTTTATTATATTTAAATTATCAATAATTTCCTATTTAAAGCATATTCTGACCTGTCTTCCTCAATAATTTTATTATACAAATACAGAAGCAAAAGGGAAGAGTATGAGTTTTTTATTGAAAGACAAAATGGTAGAGTTAGAAAAGAGTTAGGCTAGTCCCTGTTCTGATATTGCCTCTATAATGTCCTGTGATGAGTAGTTATTGAGTCTGATATTTCCATTGTATGTCTCAAGTCCACGCCTTCCTCTTTGGGATAACTAACTCTTCATTTTGAAAACTTAATTTTCTTCCTAGTTTGTACTGTTGTTTCCCGTAAATCTCCATAGCAATTTGATGATAACTTCCTATGCCATACATTAAAGCATAAAAAGCTGTAATATTTATAACAGTTTGATTCTAGTATGGTAACAGACCAGTGAATAGAATAGATTCAAAAATCTGGAAATTTAGTATATAACAAAGGAGATGTTTCAAATAAGTAGGGAAACAAATTATTTGATTAAAAATACTGATATAACTGGCTAGTTATTTGGGGAAGAAAAGGAGTTGGGTCCCTTACATTGCTTATAGCAAAACAAATTCCAGATGGATTAAGGGTTTAGATAATTTTTAAACACCGTAAAAGTAATAATAGAAAAGTTTAATAATTAATCCTGTAATTCGAGGTATAGAAGGATCTTTTAAGTACAGAATCAAACAAAGCAAGGAACTGGAAAGGAAAAGATCAGTATGTGTGGCAGAAACACTCCTCAAAAACACATTTTAAAGAAAAATTAGTAAAGAATATTTGCAAAATAGATGACAAAGTCTTAATATTCCTAATACGTGAGGTCTTAGCAAATTAAGGAGGATAAGAAAAACACACTAGTAGAACTGTGTGGAAGGATGTGAGCCATTAGTTGTCACAAAAAGAGAAATCTAAAATGAATACTAAATACATGAAAAAATTGTTCAGTCTCACTGTTAATCGAAAGAATGCAAGTTTAAATTGCCTGTCAGATTGGCAAAAATTACAGAGATTGATAAAACCTGGAATTGGTAAAGGTATAGATTAACAAATGCTCTAATCCAGTGTTAGTGGGAGTGTAAACTGGTACACCCTACATTATTATGTATAGCAAAATTTTAAATGTGTGTCTATTGACCTAGCAATTATGCATCAAGGAATTTCTTTTAAGAAAATAAATGAGTATGTTGACAAAGAAATATAAGCAATGTTCGTAATTATTAAGTGACAAAAGCAGATTACAAAACAAATAATCCCATTTTTGTACACTTGTTTGTATATATATTAAATACAAAATATGCAGAAGGAAAAATTCTAAAGAGACTAAAAATAGTGTTTTTCTCTAGGTGTTATGAATATAGATGATTGTCTTTACCTGTACATTTTGGATCTTTTTGATTCTTTTATGAAAAAATTAAAAATTTTAATTTTGAAAATAATTTTTCAAAGCTGCTTCCAGATTGAAAAATAGACTTGGCAATAACTCTTTGAAACCTAAAGGATTATCGTAACCTAAAAGAAATGTACTCATATTTATCAGATAAAATTATTTATGAATTTCAGGTGATATTGTACACTTTTTTTTTTTTTTTGGCGAGGAAGATTAGCCCTGAGCTAACATCTATTGCTGATCCTCCTCTTTTTGCTGAGGAAGATTGGCCCTGAGCTAACATCTGTGCCCATCTTCCTCTATTTTATACGTGGGACACCTGCTACAGCATGGCTTGATAAGCGGTGCATTATGTCCGCACCTGGGATCCAAATCCATGAACCTTGGGCCACCAAAGCAGAGCGTGGAAACTTAACCACTACCCCACCAGGCCAGCCCCTGTACACTTTTCTTTTAAAAAGCACATTTTGTTTGACTTATGCATGAAAGTTTTAAAACAGTTAAATGTGCTCATTTTTGCTAGGTTCAAATTACTCAATTTGGATATTTTTTTATGTTCCTTGGAAATAGTGACGTTAAAGCTATTTTATAACATTCTTTCCATTAGAACTCTATTAACTAGTACTTTGTGCTGATTAGTGTAAAAATTGATGTTCTTATTAGATCCTGAACTTTCACTATTATTTTTATATTAATTGTATTTTATTTTATTATATTCTTTGAAGATTGGTGTTATATGCCTGGTGAATATATTGTAGCTTTGTATTGATTACATATTTGATTGAAGTAGAACAACCTTTTGGGAATCTGCTGTCTGCTATATATTAGGATACAGTGATCCTAAGTCCAGGTTCAACTGCTATGGATAATTAAGATATTGGCAGATATCTTATGAAAATTATACTTACCAGTTATCAATGAACTTGCCTTTTTGTCCCCTTTGTTACAGGAATCATGGGTAAAGAAGGAAGACAAGCTGCAAGAAACAGTGACTATGCAATAGCTAGATTTAAATTCCTCTCAAAATTGCTTTTTGTTCATGGTCATTTTTATTATATTAGAATAGCTACCCTTGTACAGTATTTTTTTTATAAGGTGAGTTTCATGGAGATATTTTAGAATCAATTACTGACATAGTAATTTGAAGTTTTGCTTTAAGGAATGCTCTCACCATGCAAATTATTCTTAAAAATTGTTTCTATAAATAAAAATAACAGTTTATGGAATATACTTTATTTTGTCATAAATCTAATGTGTACTGACAGAAAGAAAAACAGTAGTTGCTGGAGGCCAGGGGTGCAGGAGATAGAATTGACTGGAAAAGAATATAAGAGAGAACTTTGCATGATAGAAAAGTTCTCTAATTTGATTGTGGTGGTGGTTACATGGGTGTATAAATTTGTCAAAACACACCAAAATTGACACTTAAAATTGATATATTTTATACTGTGCAGATTAGAACACAATTTGATTTCTTTAATGTTATTTTGTCCTGAACCAGTAATAAGTTTTATTTAACTTTAATATGGTGGTTTCAAGCAGAGATTCTTAATCTTTTTTGTCCCATAAATGACCATTTGGTAGTCTAGTGAGATGTATAAACTACTACTCAGTATAGGGGTTTTAGATGCATAAAATAAAATACATAGGGTTACAAGGAAGTTAATTATGTTGAAATACTATTCTATCTCTCGATCCTTTTGGGGAAGGTGGGGTTCTGTGGAACCCATGTTAAGAGCCCCTGACTACCAAGACTTTTAATACAGCAGAGTGTCCTCTATGGCATATTTTCCTATAGTTAAGTAATAGCTGCAAGGCAATGAAAGAAGAGGTAGATTGCATAGTGCTAATAGATGATGCAGTTTTTTTCTAGCTTATTATTATAGCTTTATTGTGGCATATGTGTATTGAAATGGAAAGATGTTTTGATAGTTCCATTTATTGTGTTTTAAATACTTTTGCATTTTAAAGCTATTATAGCCCTAAAGTTTAAGTAAACCTTACTTATTGTACTACATATGAAAAGTATTGAATAATAGTTGGAAGGTTGTAAATTCAAAATTATGGTATTGCTTGACAATGATGGGAGTCAAGGGTATCTTTATTCTTATACTTGGCAACGCTGCTTAGAATACTTTTAGACATTTTTTAATAAAATGGAAATCCTATTTTCCCATCTTATATGGACAAATTCTTATGGGCAGATCTTCTACTTACCATATCAACTGAGATTGTGTTTCTGGACTCTTAATAGCCATTTTTAGAAATTGGTTCTCTCTTAGACCTAAATATTTTCATTATTTCCATTTAATCTTGTTTTTCAGAATGTGTGCTTTATCACACCCCAATTTTTATATCAGTTCTACTGTTTGTTTTCTCAACAAGTAAGTAAATAGAAGCTTTTGTTTTATCCTTTTAGAATCAAGTATGTGTGTTCAGTTTTTGATAGGTACTTAGAGGGCCTTTTTCCATTTTTTCTGGTCGTACAGATAACAAGACAAAACTTTTCCAATTAATGTATTTCATTAGTGTAGCATTCACAATATTCTGATTTTCAGTTTGAAGTGAGAATATCAAAATATATTTTAATTCTGGATGCCTTTTTTAAAAAGATGTTAACTTTTAACAGCTTATGAGAGACTTTTGGTAACTTTTTTGAACTTACATGTAATATTTCTTTTTTTTTTTTTTTTTTAATTTTTTATTTATTTATTTTTCCCCCAAAGCCCCAGTAGATAGTTGTATGTCATAGGTGCACATCCTTCTAGTTGCTGTATGTGGGACGCGGCCTCACCATGGCCGGAGAAGCAGTGCGTCAGCGCGCGCCCGGGATCCGAACCCGGGCCGCCAGTAGCGGAGCGCGCGCACTTGACCGCTAAGCCATGGGGCCGGCCCTCATGTAATATTTCTGTAAAATCCATATCAAGCCAGGCCAGATAACTGTTGGGGGATTACCTCATTATTTATTTTTTGACTCATAGAATTTTTTTAGATTTGGAAGGAACCTTAGTGATTGAGTCCAGGAATGACATATAGCTTTCATCTCAGAAGCTAACTCTAAATAATTGTTAGAGGACACCAGGAGTGCTATATTGAAAAGGATTCTGAAGCTATAGGCTCAGAGAGAAAACCCTGTAGTTGGTTAGCAGTAGCTGTAATGAGCACATGGTGGGTCTTTATTTGTACACATGTCACACATTTGCCATTTCTTATCTACTCTTTCTTATTTTATAGAAAAGGAAATTGAAATCCACAGAGATTAACTTGCCCGGATCACATAGTAGCTAAGTTAATAACTAAATCATACTTAGACCTACTGTTTCTGACTAATTGAGCACCCATTTCACATACCACACTATACATCTCTAATTGATAAGACATTCGTTCTAGTTTATTGAAATAACAAGAGCTTAATTATCTTAGTTTTTTCATGAGTTGTTTCTGCCCTTAAGCACTGTTTTCTCCTCTGTTCACAACCTGTAACTCTAAATTCCAAATATTTGCTAAGGCATTGATTGCCAGTAGTAATGTTTGCTTACTTGAATGAAATAAAGAATGCTTTAAGAGCATATGACAGAGACCTAACCTATTTTGATTAGGTTTTCAGGGAGTTTACAGTATAATTTGAGAGACAGTATTATAAAAACAATATATGAAGCATAGGCATAGTGGTAAACACTTCGTACCAATGTAGCACATGTGACTGTGGAGAAGAGGAAGCTATCATCAAGGACTAGAGCCAATGTTTCAAGTTTCATGGACCATACCTTAAAGCAAGTGTGGGACCTAGATGGGAAGACAAAGCCATGAAAGCAAAACTATATGTGTAGCATATCAAAGGAATAGTGAGAAGTCTAGGATACATGTAAGAGAATTGTGTAAAGTTATATCAGTGACCAAATTATAGAGAATCTTGAAATGTAGGTTCAATTCACTATAATTCCAAGATCACTTGACATAATAGAATGTTCCAGTTCCCACAAAGAATATAAATCTAGGAACATTATATGTTTATGTCTATATAAGAAACAAATTGGAATTATTAAAATGGATTTTTGTATAAATTGAAGAAATTATATAATTTTTATGCTCATTTTTAATATGCTTCTTTGTAATGATAGGCATAATAGGAATACATAGTTTAGAATCTCAAAATTCCTGCCAATTTCTCTTTCTAGACACTGTATGACAGCGTGTACCTGACTTTATACAATATTTGTTTTACTTCCCTACCTATTCTGGTATATAGTCTATTGGAACAGCATATTGACCCTCACATATTACAGAACAAGCCCACCCTTTATCGGTAAGTATTATCCAGTATTAAATATCCATAACAGTTCTGACTGCAAGTAGTTTATTACATAGTTATCAATTTTTAAAAGTACCTTAAAAAATAAGTAAATACATTTGAAAGTGTCTTGGTGATTAACACTTTACTAAGGAAGGTACTTTAGTTGTCATATGGTTTATAATTGTTGAACATCAAAGAAATTTTGAAGAACTTTTCCAGTGTTTTTAGGAATGATCACTTGCATCATAAGAATGCATTGGGCAGTTGTGCAATTTGCATTTGTTGTTGCAAACCAGTAATATTCTATTTCATGTGCACAAAAGAAGTTATTAGGTAATTGGTTATCTCTAGAGTTCCTAAAAAATTAGTTCATGTTCTAGCATTGCCAAATTCATGAGCAGTAATCACTGCAAAATGCAGGGTTGAGGACATTAATTCCTGTCCCAAATCCCCTGGATTATTCCTGCATCCCCTGAACCAAGTAATCACAGAGATGTGGAACTGTTCCTCAGGACTAGCTTATAGTTCCCACATTAACCTGACCTCCACTCTTATAGAGGTATCAGTTATCCAGAAATGGCAATAACGTACCTTGATTTTCCAGGATATCCAGGACGGGGCTTGACCCAAGATTGGCACAGACTGTTCTTTCCATAAGAGCTATTGATGGACTCGAAGTCAGTTAGGAGCCTCAGTGCTGAATCTAACTCAAATGACTTCACTAAAAAGAGACAATTGTGGCACAGTGACTGAATGTTTACAATAGAATATAATACAGATAAATGAACTTTTCACAATTAAACTGAAGTATTATACCTATCATATTTCTTTATCAAATGAGAAAGTGTATTTGAATATATTATGTGAACTCTAAACTATTACACAGATGTATGATGTTATTATAAGCAGTGGTTTGTAAATTTGGATTTATTCGTTCTGCTAATATTTTCAAGCAATTTTAAATTAAAAATCTATCTTGTTTTTTAATTATCAAATTGTAATAATCACTTACTGGGTAAATAATGAATCCTAATGTTTTCCTTTTTCTTTTTTTTTAATTTACAGAGACATTAGTAAAAACCGTCAACTAAGCATTAAAACATTTCTTTATTGGACCATCCTGGGTTTCAGTCATGCCTTTATTTTCTTTTTTGGATCCTGTTTTCTGATGGGGAAAGATATATCTCTGCTTGGAAATGGCCAGGTAAAATATATAGTTTTTTAAAGAATCTTGTTAATAATTTGATTTAGTTCGATTTTTGATAACTTTTTGTCATAAAAAATAAAAATAAAATTCACCTTAAATTATAAAATTGCATGGGCTGGCCCTGTGGCTTAGCAGTTAAGTGCGCACCCTCCGCTACTGGTGGCCCGGGTTCAGATCCCGGGCGTGCACCGACGCACCACTTCTCTGGCCATGCTGAGGCCATGTCCCACATACAGCAACTAGAAGGATGTGCAACTATGACGTACAACCATCTACTGGGGCTTTGGGAAAAAAAAATAGGAGGAGGATTGGCAATAGATGTTAGCTCAGAGCCGGTCTTCCTCAGCAAAAAGAGGAGGATTAGCATGGGTGTTAGCTCAGGGCTGATCTTCCTCACAAAAAAAATAAAAATAAAAAATTATAAAATTGCAGATATTAAATTAAAATGCAATTATAAAGATTTTAAACTTTTTTTACTTAATAAAATTTCATACAAATGAAAATTAAAACAGAAAGACAATACAATGTAATCTTAATATGAAATTCAAGTTACTAGGCAATTTTTCTATTCAAAAATTAATTCACACAAGGGGATATGTTCAAGCGCCTGCATGGTGTTCACTTCAGGACTGTGTTTTAATAAAAATAACACTGTTAATTTAGTGCTTACTATTGTGCTAAGTGCTTTACACGCCCCAGCTCCATTAATCCTCACAATAATCCTGTTGGAGAGATATTATGACCCACCTTTTTTAGATGAGAAATAAGGACTTAGTATTTAGTTTTTTGCTTTTAATGCATGAATTATTTTTTCGGTATGCTTAGCAAGTGCTACCATACTCTTCCGTGTACACTAGCAATTCTGAGGAGGTCGTAAGTTACTATTTAGAATGGCCACTTTTCTGAAATGAGAAATTGGAGAAGAATGCCACACAGTATGTTGTTACTGTGTCCTGGTTGGAGTGCTCATGTTGAGAGACTCTTGGCAGAACTAGGCCTCTCTAGGCTTCGCTAGATGGGTTCAGTCAGTGGAAAGGAAATGACAGCAGTTGTGCTGTGGCGGACTGGAAATGCTTGTCACCTTTAGTTTCCCTTTTCCATTGGCAGTACTTAGTATTGCAAAATATACTTGGAGACACAGAAATACAAGATTTGCAATTGGGAGAACATGAAGTTCTATCTTTCTGACAAATGTTTATTGAGGACCAACCATTCCAATGTACTATACTAGGCTCTGGATATGTGAGAGTAACTAACACACTCAGTTATGGAGTTTAGAGTCTTGTGAGGGATACAGAAAATAAGCAAGTAAAATAATAAGAAAATATGCAAGTGCAATGAAGGAAATGTGTTTCAATTGTAGAGAGGCTTTAACCATGCAAATTCCTTTAGGATGTAGAGTAGGATCATAGATATTACTGCCACTTCACTTTTGAGGACATATTTAGCCTAATTTGGACAAAAATATGAATCTAGTTTGAGTAGCATAAAGATTACAGCACTTCCCAAATAATAACTACCTTTTATTGAGTTTTTTCTCTGTGCCAGGTGTATTATATGTATTTGCTTATTAAATCCTAATAACAACCCTGTGTGTGTTTGTCTAAAAACTGCTTTCCTATGGGCAGATCTTTACCTTCAGCAAACCATAGAAGAGACATTTCTTTACTATTACTTCTTAACAAAGTTGCCAGAGAACAAAAATATATTAGAGGACTAAACTAGTGACTAATTTTTAATTGTTTTTCTTCAAAATAGTAGAAGAGTTAAACTCATAAAATTTCTCTAGCCTTGTACAGGCTTAAAATACTCACAATATTTGAAATATAAGTATAAGTTAAAAACTGGGCTTGTCTTACCATACAGTAGTATCATCACAGACATTTGTCAAAAGTCACAGATTAGTAATTTGGTGAATATATTGTTTGGGTAATCTTTTCATTTTATTTTTTAAAGTTAAAAATGAGCTTAACAGGGCCGGCCCCGGTGGTCTAGTGGTTAAGTTCAGCATGCTTCTGTTTCAGCAGCCCGGGTTCGGTTCCTGGGCACGAACCTACACCACTGAGCTGTGGTGGTGGCTCACATACAAAAAGAGGAAGATTGGCAACAGATGTCAGCTCAAGGCGAATCTTCCTCAGAAAATAAATAAATAAATAAATAAACCTTAGTAGAGTGAATTCAGAAATGGAACAGTCCTTGGGTTTAGGATAAAAAAAAAATGAGCTTAACATAAACCTTTAAATTATTTCTGTAATCTGACAGGATCAACTGTTTTTGAATTGGTGTTTTTAAACAGACTTCATAGAAAAGTACAATCACCATTTCTTTTTTATTAATAGAATTTTGACAAAAGGTAAAATTGTTATATTTATTTGTTAGAGATCTTGATGTAACTAAAAAATTTTTAAGTCCTCCAAGAATAATTTGAAAACTGACTTCCATGAAATCATTTTTGTAAAACAACTCAATTGAGGTATAATTGATATACAATAAACTGCACATATTTAAAATATACAAATTGATACTTATTTTTTAATCAACTTTTTAAGAGTACAGTTCAGTAGTGTTAAGTATATATATTCACATTGTTGTACAACAGATCTCCAGAACTTTTTCATCTTGCAAAACTGAAACTGTTTACCCCAATTAAACAACAACCCATTTCCCCCTCTTCCCGGCCCCTGGCAATCACCATTCTACTTTCTCTTTCTACGAATTTGGCTACTAATCATTTTTTTTGAAAAAAGCTAAATAATTGGGAGGTAAACAGCAATGAAGAATGTTTATTAAGTATACTGTAAATTAGAGAGGTACTAAAAACAAATGACTGTGTTTTTTAAAAAAGAATGATTTATCTCCTTCTTTGTTGATCTCTAGAGAGTAAGTCATCTCATCTTGGTACACACTTGTTCTCACAATGTTGCTGTTGTCCAGAAGACTTTGGGAAATAGCTTATGTTGTCTTTCTGTGACCTCAGCAAGAAAATTTTTTCCGGGAAGAAGCTATTTAAAATTATAGATAAGGGAAGGTGCTACTTAAGGTTATAGATAAGGAAAGAAGGTGAGAGAAAAATGTGAGAGGAACAATTCACATTAAAAGAGTTCACCTCCATTTAAAACAGACTTCCACAGAATGCAATGGCAAAGGCATCCTGGCTAGGGTAAGAGTACAGTCATGTGTCTCTTAAGGGCAGGGACACGTTCTGAGAAATGCACCATTAGGCAGTTTTGTTGTGCGATCATTGTAGAGTGTTCTTACACAAACCTAGATGGTATACACAAACCTAGACTGTATGATACTAATCTTATGGGACGATCGTCTTATATGCAGTGCGTCATTCACCCAAACGTTATGTGGTGCATGACTGTATATAAGAAGAGTAAAAACATTATAAAAAAGGAAACAGAAAGGAGGAAATTGTAGTCATATGGTGAGAGTGGAAAACTAAGATGATGTAGGGAGGAAAATATCCGGAGAATAGTTTCAGAGGTAGCTGAGTTCCCATGCCAACATTCCATGACATTTTGCTTCTCTAGTGGTTTCAACCGAAGGCTTCAGAAAAAAAGAGGATAAAGACAAAAAGAATCTTTAGTTAACTCAGGAACTGAAAAGCTAATATCTATTCCAGTCATTCTCAGTGATCTGATAAGAAAATTACAAACTAGGTAACTACTGTTTAAAATGAGATCCCACCCAAATAAGAGTTTTTTGTTTATTTTGTTTTTGTTTTACTGAAGTGTACAGGAACTCAAAGGGAAATGTCTACCATTAATTATTTTTTTTTCTCTTGATGGAATTATACCTAGTTTGAAAAACTAAAATATTTGAAATTCAGAAAACATAGGATTGGGAGAAAAAGGAAAAAGCTATTAGAGGTATTCTAATTCCCGTTAGACTTTTCCAGTAGAGATATTGGAATTGTGAGACCCTCAATACTATTCTAAAATATATATTCTACACTGTTCCACCACATTAAAAGTTAAATGAGAAAGAAAGGATTAAGGAAGAAAAAGTAATTCTTCACCCCATCATCAAGCCTTCTACGTCTGGACCATTTGTCAAATTAGGTTGGGGGGAAATAATTAGCAACCACAAGGTACACTGAGGAGATACAATTTCAGGTTGTAATTTTGAGAGAAAAAGAAAAATAAACCTTTTTGTAGTGTTTACTATTTTTTTTTTGAAATTTTAACGATTTCCCCCCTTATTTCCTGTCCTTAATTAAATTCTCTTTCACACTATACATGTCATCAGCTGTTGAAACCTAACCTTTAATTGATAAGAGCTCTGTGTTAAGACTAGAAATATACTATGTTGTATCTGTATTCCACAGAGAATGCAGTATCCTTTACTTAAATTCAAGTGATTTAACCACTGTAATTACTGATCGGGTCGTTCAGGAAAACATATGCAAGTTAATTCCTCTAAGTAGATATAGATTTCTTTTAAGAAAAGTTTATGTGATTAAAATATGTTTGATTATCTAGTTCATTTTAGAATTTCCCAGCACATTTATTCATGAGACAAATATTTAAAGCACTAATAATATTCCAGGCAGTTAATAGAAAATGAGATATAGTATACACTAGAGGAGAACAGAAAAATATACGTTGCTTCTTATGATATCACCTAACAATTGGTCAAATGTTTAAAATCTATAAGAAAGAGTTTGTACTGGAGAACTGAACAACTGATTAACTCTAGGGAAGATAATTCTTTTACAAATTGATGTATAGTTAAGTTAAACCTGTTACAGGACAAGTTTTTCTCTTTTGCTTATTCTTCAACCCCTTGTTGCCTGACCTAGGACTTTATTCCTCCAATATCCTCTCTCTCCTTCATTATCAATCTGTCGTATTCTATTGGATCAAACCAATCACCATACAAACATGTTCTAATATCTCCCATCTTCTAATAAAAACCACAGTTCCTTGACTCACAAATTGCTCTGGCTACATTTTTCTGTGTATCCTTAGAGCAAAATTTGAAGAAGTTATCTGTTTTCGCTATTTATACTTCTGGCCTTCTTTTCTCCCTTAAATATAACTCCTGTGGGGCTTTCGCCCCCAGCCCTCCAATCAAAACCATATTCTTTATGGTCACCAACCAGCTCTACATTGCTAAATCCAAGAGTATGTCTTAGCCCTTATGAACTCGACCATTGGGCACCGTTTATAAAGCCTTTCTGCCTGCCATATTATCTTCTCTCAGCTTCTGTAACTTACTTTGGCTTCCTTACCAACTATTCTTTTTCAGTCTTCTCTTCCCACCCTCAGAGCCAGGGTTTCTCAACCTCTGCATTTATGACATTTTGAGCCAGGTAATTTTTTGTTGTTGGGCTTCATCTTATGAATTGTAGGGTGTTTAGCAGCATGCCTAGCCTCTCTCCACTAGATACCAGCAGCACATATGCATGCACCCCCTCAGTTATGACAAGCAAAAATGTCTCCAGACCCAGCCAGATGTCCCCTGGGAGGCAAAATCACCCCCATTGGGGAACCACTGCTCTGAATGGAACAGTGGCCTAGGGCTTAGTGCTATGCCATCTTTTCTTCTTTATCTGTACATGGGGTAAACTATCCTTCCCATGGTTTAAATGCTGCTTATATACTGAAAACTCCCAAATTTACATGTCTGCTGGTCTCTCCTCAGATTCAAATAACTACCTGCCTTCTTCACTTATAAGTGTCAGGAATCTCAAACTTAATAGAGCTAAACAGAATTTTTTATGTCTTCTGCAAACCCATTTCCCTTCCAATTCTCTCTATATTAATCAGTGGAACACCTTTTACCCAACTGGTCAGCAAAAGTCTAGGAATCATCCTTGATTTCGCTTCTCTCACTATCCGTGTGCAGTCACAGTGGTTCTAATGTCACACATATCCTGAATGCTTCCACTTCTCCCCTCATCCACACAGTCCAAATCATCACCATCTCCTTCCTGCTCCTGCGTCTGTTCTTCCCCTTCTACTGTCTGTTCTCTACACAGCAGCCTGAGTGATCTTTTAAAAATGAAGATTTAATCATATATCTAATGATCTGCTCAAAATCATCCAGTGGTTTCTTATCACAGTAAAAAGAAAAAAAAAATCCAACTGTGGTCTGACTCCATCTACCTCTTGAACAGTACTTCCTACCACCCTCCCTTTTATTCTCTCTACTCCAGCCAAACTGGTTTTCTTGTTTCTTGAACAGACCAGTTTGTTCCTGTTCTAGGACCTCTGCACTTCCTGTTTCTCTACCTGGTTGCTTTTCTCTCACGTGGGCATGTGACTGACTCCCTTATTCATCCAGGTCTGCTGCAATGTCCCTGGCTCGAGGAGGCCTTTCTAGCCTGCACCAGTAAAATGCCATATCCCTCATCTTCCATCGCTTCCTGACCCCTTACTCTACATTTATTTTTCCTCATAGCCCTAATGTCTACCTGAAAGTGTATATTCAGGTTTATTTGTTTGTTATCTGTCTTCTCCGCTATGTGTAAGCTCCATGAGGTCAGGAAATTTATCTTATCACTGCTTTATCCCCAAGGCCTGAAATGGTACTCAGCAAATAATAAATGCTCAATTACTGTTTGTTGAGTATACGAATGAATAATCCTTTTTAATTTGGAATACGAGTTTGGCTCTATTAAATAATTAGGTAACAAATTCAATTAGAAGAGAAGTGATCCAGAAAACAGGCAGATGGTGATTTTGAGCATCTGCCTCTTCTGAGCAGGGCAGATCCAGGTTTAGTAGTCTAAACCTCACACATTTTGGCAGGCCCTCTTTAAGGGGAAAAAGCATACAACTATGAATACTAACTTAAGTATACATGAAAGTGACTGTGAGTGACATAAATAGGTCCCACTTAACCCAAGCCAGTGTGATAAACCCAACTCAACTTCTCTTTAGCCAGATCTCCAAAATGCCCCCGCCACTCACTTCATCACCAACTAGCTCAAGGGGAAGTCAGACTGGAAAGAGAGAGCAGTTTTAACGGACTGACTGCAGATGAAATACATTACTTTTGTTAATTTTACAGAAAAAAAAGAAAAAGACCATGTGAATGTGTTTCTACAGCTCTCTCTAGGGCCTTGAATGCAAGAGGGAGCCCTAAATCCTCTGGTTCTTAGGAAGATACCACGTAACTAGCTCCAATCTGAGCCCAGTAAAACCAGATACTGAGGATAGACATGTGTGGTCATTACCACTTCCAGGCACAGGTTCCCTGGCTGCATCAAATATCTGTGCTCATAGCCCGGAAAGAGGAGATTGGCTCTCCTCCAAGAGCTGAGTTGAATGAGTCCCACTGATTTTCAGTATTTCCAGGTCGTTTCTAGAGATGATAAAAGCAAGAAAATAAGGAGAAGTTCAGTATGACTTTTCCGTTCTTTTCCTCTTGACAAATAAACTCTTGACAAATAAACTGATGTTTTATTGTTGATGATAAAATTATTATTTATTGATTGCTTATTATGTACTAGGCACACTGTCCTTTTTGCATACCCTAATTCTTAGAGAAACCTATAAGGTTTTTCCCCATTTTACAAATGAAAGATGTGAGGGACAGAGGTTAAGTAATTTGCCAAGTAAATGCTAATTGTTAGAAATCTATAATTAAAAAACAGATCCTTTTAAATAATTTTGTTAAACCAATGGTAAAAACTGTGACTACTTTGTAAACTAAATTAACATAAACTTTTAGTTGTGTTCTTATTTGTGGAAATTAAATCCTGACATTCTTTGGGAATGGATTTTGCATTTTTAATAAACCTTAGTAAGTTTTGTCTGTAAAGCCCAGGGGAATACTTTCTGACTGGCGTTAACTGCATTTTTACATGGAGTCCTTTGAGGTGTAATTCCATTGGCCATTATCTTTCGTTTCAGGTATTGGTTTTGTGTGTAAATTTTTTTCCTGCTCTGCCTACACTGTGTCCAGAAATACAGTGGCAAGTGATTTGCTGTAACTACTGGTTGGAATAGTTCCAGAAAATAATTGTGATTGAACAGGGTTTTGTTATCGTTTTCACTGTGTTACAGGAATAAAGCAGTTGCTAACTAGTAACATTCTAACTAAAAAACAGTGTGCCACACAACTCCTAACCCATCTTCGGGTTTCCAGTCTGATATTGTTACCCAAAGGGTTATTTTACATAATAATAAACATACTAATGCTTTATGGTGTTTCTTCTCATGCTCCTTTAACTTTACTCATCTAGTCACAGAGGTCAAATGTACCTGGCTTAAATAATGCGAGTGAATTTTTGTAAAGAATCAAGGTACTTTTTGCTTTACATCTGATTTAGCATCATGTTAACACATAATGCAATAATGGTTTATTCTTTCTGTTTAGATGTTTGGAAACTGGACATTTGGCACCTTGGTCTTCACAGTCATGGTTATTACAGTCACAGTAAAGGTATGGTACAGAAATTAGAAACATGGAGACATTTTGTGTCTGTGTAATTCGTAGTTAATTTTCTTCATTTCTTTAGCCATAAATAGCTATTTTTTCCTTTTTCACTCATGAATATTTTCACTGATTGCTATTTTAATAATTCATTTTAATTTTCGCCAAAAAAGCCTTTAAGTTCATTATTTTGGAAAGCTCAGCTGATTTTTATCGTCAAATAAAGGTTGGCCCCGCAATACTCATCTCTGAAATTTTGCTTGTCTGTATATAATGCAAGATAGCACAAGTTGTTTTAGGCCATCGAGTTGAGACTAAAGTACTCATGAAATTTCAGTGCTGCTTCCTCACAGAAGAAGTATATTGTAAACTTGAAATTATTCAATTTCATACTAGGACTCTTTCATTAATATTTATCTTCTGAAGGATTTTGCCATAGGAACCTTAGTCACTTATAGTTAATACATTTTATTCTTGAGTTTTATCTGAGAGGTTAAAGATTTATTATTTTATATTAAGGATTTTTTAATTTTTTTTTTTTAGATGGCTTTGGAAACTCATTTTTGGACTTGGATCAACCATTTTGTTACCTGGGGATCTATTATATTCTATTTTGTATTTTCTTTCTTTTATGGGGGGATTCTCTGGTGAGTGACTATATTGTATTTTAATTATATTGATTCAACTCTAATAAAAACTTATTGTGATAGATTATATTATGAACAAATTCTGCTCAGAATAATTTTGAGACCCTATCCTGATAATAAATTTACTTCTTTCAGTTGATCTTACTAATATGGAAAAAAAAGAAACTAACGATTACTGAATACTTACTATGTTTCAGATGTTTTACCTAAAATATTACATTGATTCATCACAGTAATTTTACTATCCCCATTTTTTCTGTATGGAAACTGAGCCCCAAGATCACAAAGGTTAAAAAGTAGCAAAGCTAAGATTTAAACTCTAATTGTTTTACTCCACAATTAATCTTCTTTATACTAACCATATTGCCTCCAAATTATTTATTAATATATGTAATAAAATAAATCACATAGAACCATTAAATTTTCATGAATGAGTTAACTTATCTCTGAAAAGTAAATAGTATACTTCATCTTCATTGGTAAAATCAGATATTTAGCTACTCTGATAGATTAAAAATTAATGCCTCTCCTAAGAATCTTTGGTAAGTGTTGGACAACTAAAGTCTCTCATTTGGAGAATTTACATTACATTTGCCTGCTGTACCTTTAATCCCTGTATCAGACAAAAAATTAGAAAAGGTAGGCAAAAAAAAACTTGGATTAGCTAAATATTAATTTCCATTTAGGATCATAAAACGATACTCATATGAATATCATTTGTAATGTTTGTTTTTAATCCTGTTTCTCCCTTTCTTTTTGTATTTCCCCATATTCTTTTGAAGTAATATATACAAAAACCCAAAAAGAGTGTCTTGACAATACCTACTACTATGTAGAACTAATATTTGGGAGTGTGTTTATTTTAAAATACGTTTGGAGGGCCGGCCCGGTGGCTTAGCGGTTAAGTGCGCACACTCCACTGCTGGTGGCCCGGTTCGGATCCTGGACGCGCACCGACGCATCACTTCTCCGGCCATGCTGAGGCCGCGTCCCACGTACAGCATCTAGAAGGATGTGCATCTATGACACAACTGTCTACTGGGGCTTTGGGGAAAAAAATAAATAAAATTTAAAAAAATAAAATAAAATACGTTTGGAGAGAAAAAACTTGAAGTAGAGCGTTTCAACCTAAGATTTGGGTAATCAATCTTTTACTTGCTTAGTAGAAAATATTTTGTTACATACTTTTTCTTACTTTTCTTGGTCTCTTAAGTCTATATTAATATGACATAATTCTTTTGGTATCCTACCACTAAGATCGAGTTAGTGAACTACTTGCCACTTTCCTGATAATAAAAACTATAGTTGTCATTGAAAGCAATTAAATTGGATTTTATTTTTAACAAAGTCTATTTTGTTTTATTTTTAACAAAGTCTATTTTGTTTATTAGTTATTCAATTCACAAAATTATACTGATTCCTAATTTTGAACATTTTTCTGGAGTATTCTTAAAAATGGTAACCTTCAAATGTAGTGGGTTTACATGATGTCTTGATTAAGAAACTGTCTTGTCAGTTTCTGTTTTTTATTAAGCCCACATTTTTCTTTGCAGGCCATTTTTGGGCTCCCAGAATATGTACTTTGTATTTATCCAGCTCCTATCAAGTGGTTCTGCTTGGTTTGCCATAATCCTCATGGTTGTGACATGTCTGTTTCTTGATATTGTGAAGAAAGTATTTGACCGACAACTCCATCCTACAAATACTGAAAAGGCCCAGGTAACCGCTTTTTATATACATTACCTTTTTACTTAGGGGTCTTTAAAGATGAATAGCTGTCACTATAATTTGCTGATCTCAGAAAATAGGAAATTATCCATTCCTGTATCAAGTATTTTATAGTATTGTTAAATCTGATATTTTTAAAGTTGTTTCTTATTCTTTCTATTAATTTTAGGACTTCTGACAAATTATAATTTTTTAATTACATTGTGTTATTAATAGAATTCCAGGTTTTTAATATAAAACTATCAAGTTATATCCAGATAATAATAGTAAATATGTTTTAAATAATATTATCACAGCATTTTATTAAGTATATTTGTAATTGGGATATATATCCATGTCTTTAGAAACATTAGAATCAGAATAATACTTTTTCAGGTTATATTGTTTTCAATAAAAGAGTATGAAATAAGTTCTTGAACCTAAATAATTTTTACAGAATGGATTTTTATAAAATATATTCTCTCACTAAATACTTATTAGTAAATATTAAGCTACAGCAAATATTAACAGTATGTTACATAGTGTTTAAGAATATGGCCTTGAGGGCCTGATAGTTGTTAGTTAAAAACCTAGTTCTACCACTTGGTAGCTCTGTACCTTTAAGTCTCAGATTCCTCATGGATAAAATTATGATAGAAACATCTATTTCATTACCTTCATAATGAGGTTTAAATGAAATAATGTTCAAACACATAGTAGATGCTCAAGAAATGATAGTTGTTTAGTTGAATTTGCCATTCTTGTTTATTGACTTGTACATGAGCTTGAAATCTATCTTAATTTGTCCTATTAACTATACCATAGCATTGGATATCTATCCTCAAGAATATATTCTAATCAACTTTTATGCCCTGGTAAACACTGAATTTATTAATCATTTAGTTCTGCCTAGGTTGAGATTTTTTCCACATATGTGCTATGTGCAAAGCAAATTTTGGTTAAATTTTGGAAGTTTAGTTGCGTGTTCTACAAATAGAATACGTTCCCAAAGTATTTAGTGATTTGAGTTAGGCTTCCTAAACAGTGTATTGGTTTTAATTTCAGTTGATCATATCAACGTTTCTTTAACATTTATTTGCTTTGGTAACTCAATCCTAGCCAATATATATTTTAACACCATTGAAGCAGCATAGGCCTCTGAAGCCTGACAAACTTAGTTAAAATACTGTTTTAACCATTTATGAAATATTTGTCCTTAAGTCACTTCCTTAAGCCTCAATTTCCTCCTCTGTAAAATCAGAATAATAATTACTACCTTACGTGACTGGTACAGATAATGGATATAAAGCACCTAACCCTGGCCCTGTATGTAGTAAGTCCTCAGTAAAAACGTAATTATAAGGACAATGAGGATGTTGCTGTATGATACTGATCTCCAGTGGGGTTGAAAACTTTGCATAATCCAATGACTGTCTGCCTATGCTTATATTTGTATCAGTATGGACAAACTTTTCTACTCTGCAATATATTACTTAAGTATATATCAAAAAGGTTTGCCTATCTTTTTCTGATCTTCAGAGATAAATACTTACAGTAAAAGGGTACTATGTTTAATACACTGTATGGAGAACACTTGTCTCTCTCTCGCCCTATATAAAGTTATATTTCACCAAAATATATTAATGACATCACTTTAAAAGTTAATTCTTTATGAAAGTAAAGAATCAGGTTTATTTACATTTATCCTAGAAGTTCTACACTGGGCAGAGCATTTGCAAACTTATGATGCATTTTCATAGAGATTTCTTAATGATAATAAAAGGTGATGCAATTAGTTCTCATTACCTTTTCTATCGCCTCTTTTTTAAAGGATTCCATAGGAAATATTTGGTACCTTAAGGTGAACCCTTAGACAAGAAAAAGTTAAAAGTACTTTATGTATATTTTGGTTCTTTTACCATAGGTTAAAATTGATTAAAAATGGAGTGTGTGTAAATCAATCATTTTATGTGTGTGTGAAAACCAGTATAATCTCCCTTTTTGCCCCACTAAATTCGCTTTTAAATGACTTGACCAGATGTTCCACTGTGGTCTAATCTAAAGAGAACATCCCTACTTCCACTCAGGGATCTTCTAGCCTGCTGAGTTTTCGGATTTTTTTGCTGAAACAGTGTATGGACATTCAAAGCCTATATGTGACATTATTCCTTTGCTACAGGCGGTAATCTGTATTATTTCAGCCTTATACTGTCACTTCTGATTTCAAATGATGAAGAAATGGTTAGAAAATTGTCAGCTACTTCATTGTTTGCCAAAAGTAGCAAGAAAAATCTTATCAAAAGAAGAGTTGTCAGCATTTATTTTGAGCTTTGTTTTTCTCCAGAATGATAGTATGGTATTAAGAGTGAAGAATAAATTCTTTTGATGGCAAAGCCAACAGCCCTACAAATGTCAGTCATATGTATATGATATTTCCTACTCTTGTAGGAACAGATGTCTTTACAAAGCTTGTCCTATTTCTGTCTCTTAGGTGATGAATACAGCTCACTGACTTGTTGTATATCCCATCCCTTTTCTGTCCACTTATAGATGTACTCCAACACAGTTGCTTTAAGTGACGAGTTCATCGCACTGCAGCCATTGTCGAGGGCAAGGAATCAGCTGAGCAAACTTAGGTAGAGTAGGAGGAGTAGAACCTCATTAACTCTTCTGCATGCTACAGGTCAACTAAACAGTATTCAAAAGATGCGCAGAGGCATGAATTCTGAGTGGGGCATTTTTGTTAGCACAGCTCTGTCTCTAATTTGACCCTTATTAATATGTATGTTAAAACCTAAAAGATATATTCATTTCTTCTTTGAGAAGAAAATTCAGCATAATAACAAGACAGAGATTTGTACCTTGTTATATATTTTATACCTTACCTACCTTTTCTAGCATAATTCTAATGCTTCTGCTTGTCATATTATTCATATGTAAGAATGCTCCTGCATGCTGAGTAATTTAAGCACAGAAATTCATAGTTTTAAGTTTCAGTTACTTGGAAGTGAGAATTGTCCGTTTTTTATCTTACCTTAATCTGTGTTATAAATACATGTGCATATTTGTCTTTGTACACTGTAATGGCTGCCAAAGCATTTCATATCCTTGCTACTGTTTAGTGCATCTATAAATTGAACAATATATTTTGTATCTCCTATATATACCTTTATCTCCACAGACAGGTCCATTCTGTCACTTTCCACAAAAAATAACCAGTAGTCTAGAGATGTCTTTTTTGTGTGTGTGAGGAAGATCAGCCCTGAGCTAACATCCATGCCAATCCTCCTCTTTTTTTTTTTTTCTGAGGAAGACCGGCCCTGAGCTAACGTCTATTGCCAATCCTCTTCCTTTTTTTTTTTTCTTCCCTTTTTCTCCCCAAAACCCCAGTAGATAGTTGTATGTCATAGTTGCACATCCTTCTAGTTGCTGTATGTGGGACGTGACCTCAGCATGGCCAGACAAGCGATGCCTTGGTCCGCGCCCAGGATCCGAACCCGGGCCGCCAGTAGCGGAGCGTGCGCACTTAACCGCTAAGCCATGGGGCCAGCCCTAGAGATGTCTTTTGATGGAAGAGAATGAAATCTTAAATCCTAGAACTTGTGATATTAAGTTACCAAAACTATATATTAACTTTAACTCCAGTCTGGTTTGAAAAGGGCAAGTAATATAACTAAAATTTTTTTTAGTTTTCGCACTCTTCAGTTTCTCCCCCTGTCAGTATCTTGTGAATTCTTAATCATATATATTTTTTAAATTCTTTTTTATTCTCAAGTTTCTAATCTATGCTCACTTGATCAAATGAATGGTTTTGACAACACACTGCTTAAATAACCTCTTATGTAACTCTATGAGTTCTTAATTTTGAGCTGTTATCAAGTTTTACCAAACCTTTCAATTTTAATTACTATTATTAGCTTCAAGCTAATATTCTACTTTGAATTACAAAGATGCAGTAATTGTAGTTGAACATACAAATGGGTGTTTAAGTGGTAGTCAACTAAATTTCATGTTTAAAACAAGTAGTCAACTAAATTTCATGTTTAAAACAAGAACTAAAATCGAAACAAACTTGAAGATTTGCTTTCACCTGTGTTTGAGCCAAATATGTATATCATGTTTTATCCATATGTGCCTTTCTGAAAACAGTGGATATTTATCACGTTTTTGAACGTCTAATCATTCAACTCAACTCTAAGGCAATAGGAGAGCTCATTATTTAAAAGAACACTCTGACAAACTCTTGTCAAGGGAAGATAACTTTTGCATTGTGAATAATCTTAATATTTTTATGAAATTATATTTTCACATATGTTGGCTTAAATCAAGCCACATTTTTTGGGCAATAACAGACTAAAAAAGAATGAGGCAAGGAGATCAAAAATTAAAGAGATCCCAGGCTCTGTAATAATGTAATAAAGTGGTAAACTTAACATTCATCTGTGAAAGAACACAATGAGAGCAGGGTATATTGGTCAAGTTGCCTCTGCTGCAAGCCACAATGCAATCAGGGTGTATGACAAAGGGGAGACAGTTGGCCCAAATGCTAGAGCTGCCCGTGGTGCTGCTCCTTATATGTCCTAACCTAATTAGTTCACTTCTCTGGGCATCCACGTTTTCACCTATCAGATGATCATTTTACATACTGTGGACTGTTTACTTACTATCAGCATCAGAGAAAAACAAAAAGAAGAAATACTATGCTGAATCAAAGGCCAGGCAGAAATAACAGTTGCTTAAATGAGCAGTGAGTGACCCCTGGGTGGGCATTTGCTCATAGCTGCATGAAGAACAAGTGCCCACATACATCTGTCTGCTGATACATCCTGTGAATTTTGAATACATCTTGTTTTTGAACTGCATTTTGAACAGTATTCCTAGGTGTGATCCATGGTAGCTTGTTTACTGTTGTGACAGAGAAGAAAATTGCACAGATACCAAATATCTTTAAGAGCTTTCAAATCCTTCATCAGTTTAGTACTTCTTAAAAGCCATTAACACAAAACTATTAA